CCTACAAACCCTGGGCTGCTGAAGTGGAATGCACAAAATTAACTACTGTGCCACCAGGCCAGCCCTGAGAGTTTCACTTCTTCATTGTCTGTTTGGATTCCTTTTATTTTTTCTTCTTGCCTAATTGCTTTGGCCAAAACCTCTAGTACTATGTTGAATAAGAGTGGTGAGAGTGGACACCCTTGTCTCGTTCCTGTTCTCAGAGGGATGGTGTTCAGTTTTTCCCCACTGAGTATGATGTTGGCTGTGGGTTTGTCATATATGGCCTTTATTATGTTGAGGTACTTTCCTTCTATACCCATTTTGTTGAGGGTTTTTATCATAAATGGATGTTGGATCTTATCAAATGCTTTCTCTGTGTCTATTGAGATGATCATGGGGTTTTTATTCCTCATATTGTTAATGTAGTGTATCACATTGATTTGTGGATGGTGAACCATCCCCGTGTCCCTGGTATGAATCCCACTTGATCATGGTCTATCACCTTTTTAATGTGTTGCTGTATTCAGTTTGCCAGTATTTTGTTGAGGAGTTTTGCATCTATGTTTATCAGTGATATTGGCCTGTAATTTTCCTTCTTTGTGTCCTATTTGTCTGGCTTTGGTATCAGGGTGATGTTGACCTCATAGAATGTGTTAGGAAGCATTCTGTCTTCCTCGGTTTTTTGGAATAGTTTGAGAAGGATGGGTATGAAATCTTCTTCGAATGTTTGGTAGAATTCTTCAGAGAAGCCATCTGGTCCTGGACTTTTGTTTTTTGGGAGGTTCTTGATTACTGTTTCAATCTCTTTACGAGCGATTGGTCTATTCAGATTCTCTGGTTCTTATTGATTCAGTTTTGGGAGGTAGTATGAGTCTAAGAATTTATCCATTTCTTCTAGATTGTCCAATTTGTTGGCATATAGTTTTTCATTGTATTCTCTTATAGTCCTTTGTGTTTCTGTGGTATCCTTTGTAATTTCTCCTCTTTCATTTCTAATTTATCTATTTGAGGCTTCTCTCTTTTTTTCTTAGTCTAGCTAAGGGTTTGTCACTTTTGTTTATCTTCTCAAAGAACCAGCTCTTTGTTTCATTGATACTTTCTACTCTTTTTTGTTTCAATTTCATTTTTTTCTGCTCTAATTTTTATTATTTCCCTCCTTCTGCTGACTTTGGACTGTGTTTCTTCTTTTTCTAATTCTGTTAGGTGTAGTTTAAGAGTGCTTATTTGAGATTTTTCTCGTTTGTTAAGGTGGGCCTGTATTGCTATGAATGTCCCTCTTAGGGCCACTTTTGCTGCATCCTATATGAATTGGTCTGGTGTATTTTCATTTTTCTTTGTCTCCAGATATCTTTTGATTTCTCCTTTTAATTTCTTCAGTGATCTGTTGGTTGTTCAGTAGCATGTTGTTTAGTTTCCACATCTTTGTCCCTTTCCCAGATTTTTTCTTGTAGTTTATTTTCATTTTCTAGTTTCATAGTATTGTGGTTGGAAAAGATGCTTGATATGATTTCAGTCTTCTTTAATTTGTTGAGGCTTTCCTTGTTTCCCAACGTATGGTCTATCCTTGAGAATGTCCCCATGTGCACTTGAGAAGAATGTGTATTCTGCTGTTTTTGGATGGAGTGTTCTCTAAATATCTATAAAGTCCATCTGGTCTGGGTTTTCATTTAAATCCACTATTTCCTTATTGACTCTCTGTCTGGATGATCTGTCCATTGGTTAGTAGGGTGTTGAGGTCCCCTTCTGTTATTGTATTGTTGTTGATATCTCTTTTAGTTTTGTTAATAGTTGCTTTATGTACTTTGCTCTTCCTGTGTTGGGTGCACATATAAGTGTTATGTCTTCTTGGTGGAGTGTCCCTTTTACCATTATATACTGCCCCCTTGGTCTCTCTTTGCCTACTTTGTTTTGAAGTCTACTTTGTCTGATATAAGTATGGCGATGCTTCTTTTCTTTTGTTCACTGTTAGCTTGGAGTATCGTCTTCCATCCCCTCACTCAGAGCCTGTGTTTGTCTTTGTAGCTGAGATGTGTTTCCTGGAGGCAGCATATTGTTGGGCCTTGTTCTTTAATCCATCTCTCCATTCTGTGTCTTCGTATTGGAGAATTCACTCCATTTACATTTAGAGTGATTATTGATATATGAGGGCTTAATGCTGCCATTGTATCTCTCGTTTTCCAGTTCTTCTGCATTTCCTTTGTTTCTCGTCCTGTGTGTTTTGGACTGCCAATTCAGTTAGGTAGTTTTCTATGGTGATTTTCTTAGTTTTCTCTTTGTTTATAATTTCTGTCTCTGTTCTCATTGTTTGTTTAGTGGTTACCATCAGGTTTGTATATAAAAATCTCGTAGATGACATAGTCTGTTTTCTGATAGCCTCTTATTTCCTTAGACTCAGCTGATTCCATCCCCCACCTCTTCCCCTTCTAAGTTATTGTTGTCACAACTTATTCCATCTTGTGTTCTGAGTTTGTGGTTAAAAATGACGAGATTATATTTATTTTTGGTGTTTTCCTTCCCTTTATCTTTAATCTTATAATTAAGTGTTTGCTAACCTGATCTGATAGCTGCAGTTTTCTGATTTTTCCTACCTACTTATCTCCTTGCTTGAGGCTTTCTAGCTCCTTTTTTTTGTTTCCCAGGTATGAGAGCCTTCTTGAGCATTTCTTGTAGGGTGGTATTTTGTGGCGATGAACTCCCTCAGTTTTTTTTTTATCTGGGAAAGTTTTTATTTCTCCATCATATCTGAAGGATATTTTCACTGGATAAGAGTAGTCTTGGCTGAAAGTGTTTGTCTTTCAGAATATTGAATATCTTATTCCACTCTCTCCTAGCCAGTAAGGTTTCTTCTGAGAAATCCACTGAAAGCGTGATAGGGGTTCCTTGGTAAGTTATTTTCTTCTGCCTTGCTGCCCTTAGTGTTTTCTCTTTGTCATTGACTTTTGCCAGTTTCACTACTATATGCCTTGCAGTAGGTCTTTTTACATTGATATAGTGAGGAGATCTATTGGCTTCTGTCACTTGTATTTCCAGCTCCTTCCCCAGGTTTGGGAAGTTCTATGCTATCATTTCTGTGAACAAGCTTTCTGCTCCATTCTCCTTCTCTTCTCCCTCTGGAATGCCTGTAATCCTTATGTTGCATTTCCCAATTGAGTCCGATATTTCTTGGAGAATTTCTTCATTTCTCTTTAGTCTTAGTTCTCTCTCCTCCATCTGGAACATGTCTATATTTCTGTCCTCCAGACTGCTGATTCACTCCTCCATAATATCTACTCTATTACGCAGGGGGTCCAGATTTTTCTTTCTCTCATTCATAGTGTTTTTCATCTCCCACATTTCTGGTTGGTTTTTCTTTATAGTTTCAATCTCTTTCGTGAAGAATTCCTGATTTCATTGAACGGTCTATCTGTATTTTCTTGTAACTCGTTGATTTTTTTAAGATAGCTGTTTTAAATTCTCTGTCATTTAGATTATAAATTCCCGTGCCTTCAGGATTAATTTCTGGGTGCTTGTCCTTTTCCTTCTGGTCTGGAGATTTAATGTTGACTCACAGTTGCTATGAGTCTTTTTTTTTTTTTTTTGAGGAAGACTAGCCCTGAGCTAACTGCTGGAAATCCTCCTCTTTTTGCTGAGGAAGACTGGCCCTGAGCTCACATCCGTGCCCACCTTCCTCTACTTTATACATGGGATGCCTGCTACAGCCTGGTGTGGCAAGTGGTGCTATATCCGCACCCAGGATCCAAACCGGCGATCCCCAGGCTGCCAAAGTGGAACATGTGCACTTAACTGCTGCACCACTGGGCCGGCCCATTCTGGAGATTTAATATATTTTTTCATACTGTTCGATAGCGTGGATTTGTACCGCTGCATGGTGATGGTAAATGGTCGCAGTTTCCACCTGCCCCCACTGAGTGGGGCATCAGGAGCTGTGTGTTCTGAGCCCACTGCGATCCGCCGCTTGCTCACTCACAGCCGTGGCTTTTCTGTCTGTGTGGGCGCTCTGGCCACTTGGCTGAACTGGAGCACTGGGCAGGCAGAGGGGTGCTTTCTTTCACCTGTGTGATCCTGGGGATGTTCTTGCTCTGCCCTCACTGTCTGCTCTCCTGGTGTACTAGCATGATGAAGTCACCCGCAATAGCTTAGCCACCTCTTTGTGGGGCTTTCCCACGGGCCGTGAGGGAACTTGGAGAACAAAGGTGTTCCCACAGAGGGCCACTCCTACCCCCCTCCTCTCAGAGCCACGCGTGGTCTGGAGCCCAGGGTCCTTGCCACTGGGGGAGGGAGAGGAGATCCCCTTACCTCCTTCCACTTCCCCGGGGATCCAGCACCTCCACTTGCAGACGGGTGGCTGCATGGGTCTCTCAGACGTCTTTCGTGTGGTGTGAATGTCCTCTGTTGGTTTATGAGTGTCCTTCTTGTTGTATTTTAGGGGGGAGAGCTCACTCCACCATGATGTTGACGTTACTCCAAGTTCTGTTCCTTTTTAAACATAAAATAGGATCCATTTTTTCCCCTGGGCTTTGTTTTCAGGTGTAATTTGTCAGTAAGCCTTCCTGCATTGGTTGGAATCTCCTCAGGATAGTGATTGACAGGATGGAAAAAATAAGGTGGCATTCCAACCCTCAGAAGGCTTATATTCCTTAAAATAGGGAGACAAATAGAGATCAGTTAAGTTCAGTAGATGTTTAAGGAAGGAAGAGTTAAAATGAGTAGGAGCAGCCGGAAATGGTGTTGGAGATGAGATGGGGCACGAGTCAGGCCTTAGGAGGGGCCAGGTTTGGGCGGATGGGCCAGAGAGGGGGCGATGGGCCAGAGAGGGGGCGATGGGCCAGAGAGGGGGCGATGGTGAAGGACTGAGCAGAGGCAGTGGCAGGAATTAATCTTCCCTACAACGTAGGGTGGGGCCAGCGCGGAGACCACAGGGGCCTGGCACGTCACGATGTTCTCCTTCATCCAATTTTGGTAAAACAGGTAGTTGCTTTCTAATGTGACTCCCCTCCCGCCCTCTGTTCCTCTCCTAGGAGAACTACGAGCAGATGAGAGCCCTGGTCGGTCAGCTGCACGAGCGAGCGCAGAGGATCAGGCTCGGTAAGCACGTGTTTGTTCCTTGTTCTCTAAGACACCCCTTTATAGAGACCGCTCTTAGGGAAAACAAGTAGCATCAAGCTTTTGGCTCTTCGAGATGGCATTTTTTCGTATGCATACATTTTATTTTTCCCCATTACTTCCCCAGTGTTTTTGCTCATGTGGCACTGCCTCTATTTGGGGAAAAGTAGAAATTCAAATTCATCAATTTTTAACTGTTGTTTCTTAATCTTTTACTTCAGCCACAGCATCACACTGAAATGTTTGTTTTCCTTGAAGCAACTGAAACATTGTCTGTTCATTAGTCATGTTCATACCATATACTAAATTTTACATAATTATGCATTTTCTGCTGTGTTATATAATTTGCAAATAACTTATGTATGGATTTGTTGATAATTAAATGGGATTTCCTAAAAACTTTGTAAATTGTCATTTTCTGTTTTTAAACTGTGGACATAATAGACATTCTTTTGGAATTTGGAAGAGATTGTGGTCTAGGGAGGAACATACAATATCAGTGTGTAAACAAATACCACATTGTGTTCTGTGGCGCCACGATTGGTGTAAATGACAGTTTACTTTAGGAGGCCGAGTGACTTGAAACTAAAGGCCATTTTCAAAATAAGATTTTTAATATGTTACAAGTACGTAATTTTGGAGGGTCTGGATGAATTTCATCTCCTTCATTTAAGAAGAATTCTGCCCCGTGTCCTCGTCACAGGCTCTGTGTTGTCTGAAAACCTGTGGCTGTGGAGTCGCTGCGTCCTTAGGTGCACTCACGGCGTGCAGAGGACACCCTGGAGAGGGCGTCGGGCAGATGGTTGGAGGCATCTGATGGTCTCTCTTAGTTCAGGTGAAAGTGTCATTCGTGTTGTTTTCTCTGAGGACTTGAAGGATGGAGGCCAGGTCGCTGATTAGTGGCAGGTGGACAGAGACCGCTCAGGTTGTCAGTTCGTCTGTGTGGTGTCTTGGGGAAGAATCGGTGCAGCCTTTTGGTTCTTTGCAGAATTTTGAGAGCGGTGGGCGGGACGGGTTTGTTAGTCTCGTAGTTGAGCGACGCTGGCCCAGGTGTTTCATCCCTCCTGTAAACGCTAGCACCTCCTCCACAGCTTGACGCTTAGGAGTGGGTCTGTGCGTGAGAGGCGTTATTCACTCCACACATGCAGTTCTGTCTTCTCTGACTTAATAGATTAAGCAAAATTAATTGAAAAGACCAGAAAATAAACCTGTTTGGAGTATCTTGGTCTCTGTCTTTTTTACTATTGTGGTTTAGTGTCAGAATCAATGAAATCCTCTAAAAATTACCATGACATGAGCAAACGGATTTGGCTCTCACTGTGCGGCCCGTTGAAGTGAAGGCCTGTCAGACGGCAATAATTGCTCCCACTCTACCCGTGAGGGTATTGGGGAGAATTTTGAAAAATGAAGGTGATAAGCCTCATAGAGCTCCTTGTACATTAGGTGCTTGTAGTATATTAAGAATATTATTTTGAAAATGGCTATATTTGGTCTCTTTGGTTTTGAGTCACAGAGATCCATGTCTACCTTGTTTAATGCAGAAAGCAGCATTTAGTGGTTCTTGTATCCATGGTTACAAGACGTGATTGACTGGACCCCAGGCTCTACCACCCCCAGGACTCTCTCTGCCCCCCGACTCATCTCAGGATGCGTGTGTGTGTGCGGACCTCACTCTTCAGGCTTCTCCCGGGGGTGAGGCGCTGGGGGCTCGCAGGCCAGGGATGACCTCGTCACAGTTGACAGTCTGAAGGGAAGAGCTATCCTTTCATCTCCAACCCAGAAAATTCTGGTTGGTTCACTTGAGTCCCGTGTTCGTGCCTTGGCCCCTCACTGTGTCCTGGGGTTGTGGTGCCCATGCCAGCCTGGACCCATGTTCATGCAGGCCTTCAGGATGCTGTGACTGGCAGCTGCTGAAACTTCCTGGTGGTGGCAGTGCTGCTTTCAGGAACGGGAGAAGGAGCACGGCAGGGGGAGCCGTGATGTGAGTTATCCTGGCTAGACCACTCTCACCGTCCCCTCTCTCCCTGGGGCTATGTGAGGAGGAGGGTTCGTGGGCATTTGTCATTCTTTTTGACCAGGCAGCTCTTGAACCCCTGTTCTAGTGTGGGGAAATAGTGTTAGAAAGTGACGTGAGTTTTACCTGTGGGTATGATTGGAGGGGCAGAATATCCTGCTGATCGGCTTCTCAGGAAGGTGACTGGAATGATACTCTTGAAGGCATTTTGGAGTAAGGCATTGTCTCCCGAAAAAGAACCAGGACGCTGGCTGAAATGAGAATATGCTTGTAGAGGAGCAGTGACTCTTTAATTTGTTCTGATGAAGTCACTGTTCCCTTGGACATTCCAACCAGTGGGTTTGAGTAAGAAGAGATGAAGTGGCCTCTAGCACTGAGCACCTGCTGAGGGTGGGCGGCCTTAGGGTCTTAGGTTCATTTTTCTTTTAGTATTTATTTATCTTATTATTTTTTTTCCTGAGTAAGATTCACCCTGAGCTAACATCCATGCCAATCTTCCTCTGTTTTAATATTTATTTTTGTACAGCTTTATTAAGATGTAACTGACATACAACAAATTGAATTATCTAAAGCGTATGGTTTGAGTTTCAACATATGTGTAGTCTCATGAATCCACCAGTGCAGTCAAGATGGTGGACCTGCTGGTCTCAGACGCTCCCTCTGCCCCTTTGGAACCCCTGCCTCCTTCTCCTCTCCTGCTCCACTCCGCTCCCCTCCTCCCCCCTCCTCACCCCCCGCCCACCACCCACCACTCCCCTAAACCCACCTCAGCGGGGAGCTTTGAGTTCCCTGTGGTTGGGAGAAAAGAGAGTAGCTGTTTGACTTAATTCACACCATCTTATAAAACTAAGTCCTTCCTTCCTGGAATTGTCTTTATTTTAAAAGAAGATTAGATGTATGATATGGTTTTCTTGGTAACCTTACGGCAGATTTAATCTTAAAAATGTGCCGTGGACTTTTTCAGAAAAAGAAACTCCCCTTAGGAATCAGGAGGCAGCCCTGATTTGAAAATATGGCTGTACTAGGAAGCTTGTTTAAAATGGAAAGAACTTACTTTCTCACCTGGAAAAGGAGCGTCTATCTCGAATAGCTGAACCCCGCAGTTGACAGGGAGCCCACTCAGCTGGAATTCTGGGGCAGCGGTGACGATAAACACGCTCAGGCCCAATCTGACCCTCTTCTGACCTGTTCCCTGGTGTGCTGGGAGCGAGCGGGTGTGGACGTGCCCGGGTCACCTTCCAGGGCCCGAGATGGGCGCCGTCACCTCCAGTAGCCCCACTGGGAACCCCGACTCTTCAGTGCCTGTGATTAGCAGGAAACGCTGCGGACAGTGAGTCAGGATCTCATAGAGGGACTTGGGACAGCCGTGTGTGGCTGTCCCCGTCACCCATTCGGGGCCTCAGAAGTTATGGTCGCTCGCGGCTCCGTAGCTGAGTTTTGCTGTGCTTGTCGTGGAGCCATTTCTAAAGTGATGCTCTCCGCCTGTGCAGTGACGTAGGCGTTTTTCAGATGCCACGTGGCGCCTGCGGGCCTGGTGAGGAGCGTGGGGCTGGAGGGAGTGGTGGGGACGGGGCGTCCCAGGAATGTGCTGCGCTGTTTCCTTAGCTCTCTGCTACTGAGTGTAGGAAATGCGTGACGTACTGTGCGGTCAGGGAGAGATGGATTTAAAAAACTGCAGGTTCTTTATTTACTTCAGAAAATTGGCAGCTTGCAAATTGAATGATCTGAAAACTTAGCCATTTCTCACCTGAAACGTTTAAAAAGTTCCGTATTTTGGGCTAAGCGCTGGTTTCTCTGGCGTCTCGTTGAGTGGGAGTCCTTCCCTCGTGTGGGTGTGGTCTAACCTGAGGTGTTTTTGTCGCAGGAGGAGGGGAGAAAGCCCGAGCGCGCCACAGATCGAGAGGAAAGCTGTTGCCCAGAGAACGAGTCGACGGGCTCCTCGACCCAGGGTCGGTGCTGTCCGCGGGGCTGTCCTCCGCGGGGCTGTGGCTAATGGTCTTACATCCTGGTTCTTGTGAGAAGGACAGATGTTGGTGCGAGGCGCCCGCGTGTCAGGCCAGATCCGGGTGCCGGTGACACAGCAGGGAACCCGGGGCCCAGAGCCCTGCCATGGTGGAGGTGCGTTGCAGCAGCATGCGGGGCCGAAGATGAATGGTCCGAGTTGTAGAGGAGACGGCAGGTCAGAAGGTGGCAACTGTCACGGGGAAAGAAAAGGTGACCAGAGTAGGGAGAGGAAGATGGGGTCTCTGTGTGGCTCTAAGTGAGGCGGTTAGGATAGGCCTCAGTGAGGTGGTGACGTTGGGGCGAGGATTCGAAGGAGGGAATCGAGAGGGCCCTGTAAAGATCGGCAGAAAGAGTGCTGCAGGCAGAGAATGGCCAGTGCAAAGGGCCTGAGGCAGGAGTGTACCAGACAGCTGAAGGAGCCTGGAGGCCCGAGTGGTGCGAGTGAGAAGAGGAGCAGGGGCTGGGGTCAGATGTCGGCAGGCCTCGTGGGCGGGGTAAGAGTTTGGCTTCTGCTCTGAAGGAAATGGGGAGGCTGTGCCGGCCTTTGATCGGGAGACTGTTAGACCTAGCTGACTGTGTTTCATCACTTATTCTGGCTGCTGTGTCGTCAGCAGACTGGGCAGCAGGGCTGGAGGCAGCAAGACCAGTTAGAGGGGGAAATTCAGCCTCACAGGTGCCTTCTTACGACGTGCACATGCGCCAGCCTGGACACAAACCCCGTCCACGCCTGGGGCAGGTCCTTGTACGCTGTGTGTTAGACGTACTTTAAAAGAAAAGTGGGATCAGACTGCATGTGGTGTTCATCACCCCCTTTTCCTGCCTCACGTGCCGTGAGCATTGAAGTGAGCGAGGGAGAATCACGCAGTGGCTGAGAGCCGGGGCCGGGGCCTGGGCCAGACTGCGTGCTGCCTCCCGGCTCTGCCGCTGCCTCGCGATGGCCTCGGACGGTGGCTTGCTGTCTGCGCAGGCTCCTCAGTGGTCAGTGGGGATCGTGATAGGGTCCCCCCAGAAGTTGTTCTGAGGAATAAACGAGAGTTTCCGTGGCTCCTAGAAGACAGTCTGGCACGTGGTAAGTGCCGCATAAGTGTCAGTGCTGTTCTTTCTATGTTAATAAACACAGTTGTACAACTTCTTTTAAAATGAGTACCTAGAGTTCTGTTCTATGGCTATACCGTAAAAATCCACTAAATTTTTACTTATTTAAAAATTGGATTTTGTCTGAGATATTCTTTTTGTGGATTTTGTGTACAACATGCATATTTGAAACATTGCCCCATTAAAGAAAAAAATCTTTTCCTTTTCCACATGTAACTGTTTAAATATGATTTTTTAAAGTGACATTAATTGGAGCACCGTCCTTTCTTCCATCCAGGTCTCCCTTTCTGGAGCTCTCCCAGTTTGCAGGGTACCAGCTGTATGGTGATGAGGAGGTCCCGGCAGGCGGCATCATCACGGGCATCGGCAGAGTGTCGGGGTGAGTGTTCTGCCTGCGCTCCCCCGCGGGGGCCGGGCGCCCGCTCACCGCTGTCAGTCAGCCCGCGAGTTCCGTGCTGTTGGTGTTCTTCAGGGCTGCGGCTTCCCGCCCGGACGTGTATTGACTCATGTGAGGAGCTTTAGAGACGACGATTGAAGGGAGCCCCCAGCAAAGATGCTGGGGTCCCATCCAGAGCTCCCTGCTTAATCAGACTCTCCAGGGCGGGCTTGGCTTGTGTGGTTCTCCGGGGACCCACAGCGATCTCTTGCTCATCTCGGGTGAAAGCCACTGTCGTAGAGGAGTGGTTCTCCAAGTGTGGTCCCTAGGGACCTTCAGTGTCACCTGAGAACTCACTGGAAATGCAAATTCTCAGGTCTTCCCAACAGGTATGAAGTCAAATTCTGGGAGTGGGCCCCACGAGCTCCAGGTTCCGAGTGCTGGTGTTTGAGGAGCATTGTAGACCTAGGGCGTCTCGATCGAAAGATGTTAAATGTGTCTGTATATGTTCATGTATGATCTCATTTCCCCCATGCAGTTGCTGTGCTGGGGCTGCCGGGAGCCCCTGCCCCGTGACGCGTGGTCTTAAGCTTCCCTACAGCTCTGTGGGAAGGGGTGCTGTTACAGTCATTCCCCTCCTGCAGATGAGGAAACCTGCTTAGGGACTTGAATCGCCTCCCCGAGGCCCAGCCACCGGCAAGGGCACCTTTGACCTTGGGCGGGTGGACTCTGCCTGGCGCAGCTGATCGGACTCGGGCGCTGGTCCCCTGTGCGCGTCCCTCCACCTCCTCCCTGGGGCCTGGCCTTCGGGAGGTGCACCTGGCGCCGTTCACCGTCGTTGCTTCCTTTCTTTACCCCTAGGCCACCCCTGTGGCTCTTTGCCACTTGTGATTTGCTTAATAATTACCCAGTGTAGAGACTTTTTTTCTTGGAGTCTTAGGGGACACTTAAAATTAACCTTTTTAAAAAAGTGATAAACTTAATGCAGAGTTAAATTCATGTATCATAGAATACATGATTAAGTAGAATAGTTATCTTAATTCTTCCTCCAGTCATGATGACTGTCACGGTGTCGGAGCGTGTTCTGCCCCTTTTCCTATGAATATACTAAGGTTTCATCGTTGTTTATGCTTTTGTATTTTTTATCTTTATTTTCGTTTATGCTTTTGTATTTTTTATCTTTATTTTCATGCCTTGTTCTCAGTTTATAAAGTTCTTAACTTGGAAGGAAATTGAATTGCACTTGGAAATCATGCAGGTTCAGGCGTCGTCGGCTGCAGTTAGATTCCTGGCTCCATTTTGTAGTAATTTGACCGCTAGCAAATTGCTTGAGCTGTCAGTACCTCAGTTTTCTCATCTGTAAAATGTGATTTATTATAAAATGGAATAATAATAGCAGCTACTGCAGACGATTGTGGAGACTGAGCGCACAGATGAAATGAGTCATGGGACGTATTTAGAAAGGTGCCTGGCACATGGTAACAGCTTCATAAATGATGCCGTTTACAGCACAAAAGGAACTGTGGATAGGAAAGTGATGAGAACTTATGGGATATAAAGATGTTTTAGAATATTACAAAATTAACGTTATAACAAGAATCAGAATCAGACGGGAGATGTGTTCACCCCGGTCCTATCATCTAACACATCAGACGCCTTGTGCTTTGTTTCTCTCTAGCTGTTGACCATACCCTTCAGTCCTTCAGAAAATCCCGTTGGTCCTACCAGACAGTGTCTCAGGTCCCGCCCCTCCTCCCGTGTCCGCTGCTGCTGCCTCTACCACCTTGTGTCACCCCGTCTGCTGGAGTAGCTGGTCAGCTGGTCTGCTGGCTTCCTTCTGCTGCTTCCCTGGGTTAGTTTTCCACATAGCGTCCAAGGTGATCTTTAAAAATGCAACTCAGGTCATGACTTGCCCTGCTTGAAACCTTCCAGCTGCTCCCCTGGCTCTTGGAGTCGAATCGTCCTGTGCGTTTGTGGTTCTGGCCTGCAGGGTCCTACGCGATTGGCTCCTGCTCCCTCGTTAACTGACTGTATTCCCTACCACTTTTTGTAGCCTCATTGGTACCTGAGAGTTCTTTGAGCCTACCAGCTTTCTCTTGCCCAGGACTTGGGCCCTTTTTTTCCCTGTGAAGTTGCTGGCTTCTCATTTTCCTTGGGGTCTCGCTCGAATACCCCCTTCTCAGAGGCTGTCCCGAATGTCCCTGTCTGAGCAAGCCCCCTGCCTGCTTCCGTCACTGTGCCTGCTGTGCTCCAAGGACCTTGTTGGCCGGTTTGTGTTGTTTCTTCGCCGTCTTCTGCTCCCCTAGCAGGTCGGCTTCGTGAGGGCAGGGACTTCGTCTCGTTCAGCCCTGGTGCCGGGACCACTGCCTGGCAGGTGGTGGGCATTCAACATAGATGTCTTGAATGTGTGTCACTTTTATGTGGTTATGATAATGACACAGATAGAATTTGGTGTTTTGCTATATCACTTATTTAAGCAAGCGTTTTTTTGCTATTTAAGACTTTCATTGGTTTGCCTTGTGCTGTCAGTTTGTAACATATACCCGTTGTTAGATACTTGTGTTTCCCCTGATTTTCGCCATTCTGAGGCACGATGTAGTGAATGGATATCTTCGTGCATATAGTATTCCCCTGTAGTTTTTAATTATTTCTTCAGTCTCCAGAAGTGGCAATATTTAGATGGACTTATTTTTTTATGGCAGTTGATAGAAATCTTTAAAAATGTGGACTGTTTTAATTGCTGCCAGTATTCACCGTGTTATAAGTGTATGAGGCGTTTTTGTTTGTTTGTTTGTGCTTTACTTGCACCCCACCTAATTCCAAAAAATAGTTACAGATGTTTATAAAGGTGAACTAGCAGATGAAATAGCAGAAGACAGCGTAAATTAAAAATAAGACTGAAGTTAGTAGAAAAAATGAGGCTGGACTCCTAAACTAGGAATAGCATAATATTTCCTAAAATGACAAACATTAAACCCCAACTTCTACTCTTGGTAGCCTAAGAATTCTGCTCTGTGCTGGCAGTTCTCAAGTCATTTGCTGGACTTGACGTGAGTAATTCCTGTCAGCCCTTCCTAGGCTGGAGAGGGTAAGATTTCCCTACCCTCACCCCTCTTGCTTTAGGAATGTGGCTCAGCTACATAGAAACAAGAAAAGGAAGAGAAACATGCATGCCTCACGGGGCGCCAGGCCAGGTGGCGCTCTGGGCGCTGAGAGCAGATGGGCGGCCGTGAGTGAACGAGCGGTCTAGTCCCTGTTCGCTGAACCCTGCTCACCGGTACTCCAGCCTGAACTTCAGAGCCACGGCCGTTGAAGTCGTTAAACTCTTCTATGCCTTTATTGCCCTTGACGCGTTTCTGAGTAGTGCTGGAGACGCTGGTGTAGACTCCGGGGTAAGTTCTGGAGTGGACACCAAGGAACTTAGAGAAAGCTTGTCGCATGGAATGTCTTTATAAGCAATTTAGAACCGAGGACTGCTTGCCTCAGGTAGTAACTGGCGGAACAGTAGCTGAGCCACGGTCCTTCTCCCTGCAAATTCAGATTCCTCACCGTGGCTTACAGGGTCCTGCGGATCTGACCCCGCCTGCTCGCCTGCCTCACCCTTATTTATAACTTGGTGGCTGCCATGGTCTTCCTCTTTCTTGAACACGCTGAACTCCTCTTTGCTTCAGGGCCTGCACTCAAGCTCTTTGCATGAAACGTTCCTCATCTGCTCTTGCACCGGCAGCTCCTGGTCGTTCACGTCTCTGTTCAGGTCTCCCCTGGCCCCTTGCTTAGCAGCACGTGCTCCGGAGCCAGGCTGCCTGACGCAGAGCCTCGCTTCACCCCTGTTGCTTGGTGACCATGGGCACGTTGCTTAATTTCTCTGCCTGTTTCCCATCGGCAAAATGGGAACCCTCGTATCCCGGAAGCCTTACAACAGTACCCAGTGTGTAGTGAGCACGTCTAAGTGCGGGCTGCTGTCTTCACTCCGTGACCGTTCTGTCTCAGCGTAGCCCCACCACAGGCACCTTGCTTTATTTCATCTTGTTTTGTAATGACAGTAATAACACAACAGTTGTACACGTTGTGTTACCTTGTTTTCTCGTTTCCTCATAGCGCTACAGTCAGAGACTGTCTTGGCTATTTGTTGGTTGGTGCGCCTCCCCTGACTGACCCTCTGCCCCGGAGTGGAGGCTCTGCGAGGTCACGGGCTTCGCCCTCCTAGTTCACCCCATGTCCCTGCGACCTCGAACGGGACGTGGCCCGTCGAAGGCACTGAAAAAATACTTGTTGAGTAAGTGGATGGACGACAGGAATGTAGTTTATAGGCCAAGTTATCTGTTGTGGTCATTTCCAGAGTGAGATTGTGAAATCATTCCAACTCACAGGACGCTGCTGGTGCCGCTTTCTCCGGTCGGGGGAAGGGAGTGGAGCCCTCCTTGGTCCACGTGATCCCGAGAGCAGAGCTGGGCACCAGGACTAGGCTGGTTTAATTCCGCGTGCGTTTTAAACTTTGTAGGCAGAAACCTGTCACAGACGCCGACTCTCAGGTTCTCCGTGAACGGGGTCATTATCCAGGTTCCCTAGGGCGCGGTGCGTTTTGGCTCGTGAGGCCCCTGTCCACCGCGGCCAGGGCCCAGGGGCCGGGAGAGACCAGTTTCATCTGTGCGCTGGGGCTGCCCTGCTGGTGGATTCTGACTGGAAAAGAATCCACTGTTTAACAGGTGTAAAGCAGCACTTCCTTATCGTTTAAATGGATTTCTTACACCACTGGTGTGGCCAGATACTGGGTATTGCCAGTGCTTTTTCTCTGGCAAGTGATAGATGTTGAAGCTAGTTTAAGCAGAAGGAGAGGATTTACTGACTCTCTGAACTAGTGAGTCTGGCCTTGTTCCGAGGCAGGTTGTCTAGACCTGGAGGCGGAGCCGGAGCCGGCCCCAGGCAGTTCCTGGGCTCTGTTCTGTGAGCTTCGCAGCTGCAGGAGGTGGAGAGTTCCTCTTGGGGCCCAGGCCCCCTGCTGAGCCCATGCAGATCCTGGGTAGAAAGCCTGGTTCTCGTGCCCACCTCCGAAGATGGGCTTTGGGGTCAGTCCACTTGAATCACGTGGATTAGAAATAGAGAAGAGGCAGTTTCTGAAAGAATGATTCTGTTGCCAAACTAATAGTTGCTGGGTAGGCAAACCAATAGATGTGCAGTGCAGTATGTTTGTGGACTAGTTTCATTTCTCACTCTGTAACACGTCTGTGACTTGTTGACAGACTGTGTAACAGCGGCTGTGTCTCGTGTCCAAGGTCACGTATGGAGCCGCTGGCAGAGCCAGAGCTCTCGCCTGCCTTGTCTGACTTCCCAGCCTGGCCTCCTCCCGGCCCAGAGCCATCCCGCTGCCCGAGGAGCACCCGGCCGGGGAGCGTGAGCAGTGTCGGCCTGTCGCTACGGCCAGGCAGCTCGCTGTACGCCTAATTCCCCTTGAAGTCTAGTTTGTTTGATGTTAAGGTCGTTACAAATTTGCTTTCCATTCTATGAAATGTTAATTGTAACGTGGAAAAAGGCTTTACATGATCTAGTGAATAAAACTGATGCTCAAAACCAAACGTGGGTTGGCCTCCTGGCAAGGTAAAATCAGACTCTTGACCAGAAGCAGTTGTCACACAAAGTAGAACTTTTTTGTGGCAAATAGGCCACGTGGAATCATTTCCAAAGTCGTGGTGTCCCCAGACACCGGGCCCCAGGGCCCTTTTGTGTTGGAGGTGGGCGTTCCCTTGCGCAGGCTCAGTTGGAAACGCACTGCCACAGCTGCTGCAGGTTACGGCGGCCAGGCCCACGCTCCTCCCGGAGAGATCCAGCATCACGTGAAGCCAAGGGCGACTTTGGGTCATCTCTCGGCTCCTCTGCGCAGATGCTCTCCTTGCTGTGGGCTCCATCTAGTTCAGGGTGGTTGGTGATTGCTTCTCTTAACAACAACAAGTAATTTGGAGAAACAGTTAAATGCTTCCTAAACTTCTCTTGAGTTCCTCAGGGCAATTAGTCGGTGAGAAAAGGAGGGGAGCCCTCTTCTCTCGTGGGTGCTGCTGGCCAGGCACCCTGGTAGGAGAGGCGCAGCATCCCGGCCCAGGCCCCGTGCTGCTCTCCGTCTCCAGCAGTGATTCAGGGAGTCGCTGTTCAGAGTTCTAGAGACTGTCGAGTGGGAGAACAAAACGTCGTCCATGTAAAGAAGGTCACATTTTGTGAAGCACACACCGTTGCCCCTGGCAGTGGGAAGCGGCCCCCCCTTGCTGGCTGCCTGCACCCACCACCTGCCCTGGGCTGACTTGTGGGCCCTGATGCCCACACGCTGGTTTGGGTGAGAAAGGGCCCCACCGATGAGTCACTGTTGTATGTGTTTTCAGTGTACTGTTTTAAAGTTTGCTTTTGTTATTTTTAAGCAAGATAATTGTTTTTTTTTTTTAAAGATTTTATTTTTTCCTTTTTCTCCCCAAAGCCCCCCGGTACATAGTTGTGTATTCTTCGTTGTGGGTTCCTCTAGTTGTGGCATGTGGGACGCTGCCTCAGCGTGGTCCGACAAGCAGTGCCATGTCCGCGCCCAGGATTCGAACCGACGAAACACTGGGCCGCCTGCAGCGGAGCGCGCAAACTTAACCACTCGGCCACGGGGCCAGCCCCAAGATAATTGTATTTTAAACTTCTTTTAGTTTTATAGAAAAGCATGTGGTAGTAACCTGAAAAACTTCTGAAAATTTGAAACGTATTCTCGATGGATCAGTTTTCATTTTTGCAAATTACCTTCCTCACAGGAAATGTTGAAGGTTTATTATGAGGGATTTCCTCACCCTCAGGACTGGGATTTTTTTCTTTTTGCATTATTATTATCTTGTTAGGACCCTTTCATTCAAAGAACCATTATGAAATGTGGCTTAAGTTTTTCAGTGCTAGTATAGGGGTGGTGACTCTAAAAATCAAGTATGAGATTTTAAACTTGTTGAAAGTGATCATTTTACATTGTGTAAATGAATATGTGAACTGTGATCAAAGCTCGTTTTAATATCCTAAGATTGTCCGCCAAGGACTGTCACTGGTCACATGTACCAGAGGCTGCAGGTGTGTGGCAGGTCTTTGACGCGCTGTCATTGGCCTTTACTTTGAAGCCTTCTCTCATACTCTCTTTCCAATTAAACTTCTGCCTTTCAGAGTGGAATGCATGATTGTTGCCAATGACCCCACTGTCAAAGGAGGTACCTACTACCCGGTGACCGTGAAGAAGCACCTGCGGGCACAAGAAATCGCGCTGCAGAACAGGCTGCCCTGCATCTACCTGGGCAAGTCACGGGGTGGGGGGACAAACGGCCACTCGCTGAAGGCGAGACCGTCTAGAAGGCTACACATGTGATGTCATCAATGGGTATTTTAAAAAACAGTTGGTTTCTCCCTTAATTACAAAAGAAATGCATGTTTTTTGCTAAAAACTCTGGGAGAAAAAGTCAACAAGAGCTACCCATGATATCATCACTGAGGAAGAACCCCTGGTCATATTTTGGTGTATGCTAGTTTTCTCTTTACATGTGTGTGGGGTTTTGCTCTTTTGTGTGTTTTGTTTTTCTATTAACCACAATGGGTTCAAATTATGAAAAAATACTAGCTAATGTTTATGGATTTTTGAGTGCCAGGTACTATGTTAAATACTTGAATATGTATATAATTTGAGTAGATGTAATATAAAGAAATTTAATTTGCAGTGAAAGTAAATTTGTATTTGAAATTAAAATACATTGAAACCTAAGGATGTTTCAAAAAGAACCAGTTTAAGTCAGTTTGAAATGGGCACGTCCTGGAATTTGGTTTAGTTTGGTGGAACTCCGGCATATCCTGTTGACTTAGTGAGTATCTGGGCTGGTGCCGACGGGGAGACCCTTTCCTCTGGGGAGGTGCATTTCCCTGGCCGCCTCCCAGTGTGCACCGCTTTGCACATTTAGGAAACAGCCGATGCGGCCCTGCTGCTTGGGGTGCTGTGCCCAGCTCTGAAGGCTGCAGGGAGGGGTAGTGGGCTGTCCCTGTCTCTGCTGAGCTGCTGATGGTTGGCGACAGGGTACGCTGTGTTAAATGACAAGGAGACTTCGTGGTCGTAGGCAGTGGCAACAGGTGCAGGGCAGTGAGCTGGAAGCCTTCACTCGTGTTGAGCCGAGGGCTTCCGCTCCAGGGGTGGCTCTGCTGCCTTCGTTGCACAGCAGGGACGCCCGCCTGTGGGCGCACGGGGTGCAGGAAGGAGCTCGGGGTTGGGCTCAGCTGGCATTCTTTTTCATGAGTTACATGTTTTATATTTTTCAATGTAACTGATTTTGCTTAGTGTAATATTTTTATAATTAATTTTTTAGATAATCATAGATTCACAGGCAACTGTAAGAAATAATACAGAGGGACAGTATACGCCTCACCCAGTTCCCCCTCCCACAATGAGAACATCTTGCAAAGTTACAGTACAACAACACAACCAGGATATTAACATTCATACAGTCACGATGCAAACAGTGTCCATCCAAACAGCGAACACTGTGTTCAGCTGGCGTTCTTAGCCACCATGCTAATCTGCAGCAAAAACAGGACCGGCAGGCAGTGTGTGAAAAAAGTTCACCTGCATTCTGTAGATGTTTTTCGTATTGTTTTAAAGGAGAAAGGGAGAAAGGTGCTTTTTTGGCTGAACTGGTTAAGAATATATGGTGTTTCTGGGGAAAGGCTAATCCTCAAAGGAGAGAATGTCCTAAACATTTCTTTAAGTGAATTGTGCACAGAGGTAGGAGAGCCTGTGGGGTTTGAGGAAAACAGGATTCCCTGTGGCTGTGTGGGGCCTGGGGAGAGGCTGTGCGATGGTTAGGCAGACGGGCGAGTGCTTTGTGACTGTGATTAGGAGCTGAAGCTGTTGGTAACGAGTCTTCCATGTGCTGCTTGCTTTGCTCCTGGAGACGTGCTTACCTCTCTCCTTCCCTTGTCCCCAGTCGACTCAGGAGGGGCAAACCTGCCTCGGCAAGCAGACGTGTTTCCAGACCGGGATCACTTCGGCCGCATATTCTATAACCAGGCGATTATGTCTTCTAAAAATATTGCACAGGTAACTTCTCTTTAATGAGATACACTGCTTTTTGCTCCAGATGTCTTTACTAACTAGGTACTCTGAGATGACTCAAAACAGAATTTAATATAGAATTTAGTCGTTTTCTACAGAAAGTGTCTTAAGGTTTTATCTTCAGTCAGATTCTTCTGTTAATTATAGAAATTCTCTTATCCTGTAATAAAGGTTATTCACTGAAGGAAAGGAGTTTTTAAAAGGAAAGGGCAGTGAGTGGTTGCTCTTTTAGGACCACGCTCTGGAGAAACTCCAGCATGTGTACGAGGGGACACGTGCGAGAAAGCTCATCATAGCCTTTTCGTTAAGCCAGAGTTAGAGGACAGCCCCCTTGGCCATTAGCGGGAGATTAATAATGCAGCTCTTAGCTCTTGAAATGAATGAGCTGGAATTGTATACACTGACATAAATAAGTCTCAAAAATATGTCGAGTAAAAAAATTACTAGACTGAATGTCTAGCCAATTGCTATGTGTGTAAACGTTAAATACATTGGGCAATGTGTTTATGTCTGAACATGTACATGGGTGATGCGCTCAGCTTTACAACAGCGCTTACCTTTGCTGTGGGAGGAGGAGGGGTCAGTGGGGGTAGTTAGAGCCTTCCACTGTGTCTGAAATATTATTCCTTTAGAGAATCCTGGCCAAATGTCCGGATTTACTGAGACTGGGCGTTAGGTGCCAGGACACTGACTCTTGTTCCCTATCTTTTTGCATGTTTGAAACACTTCATTACGCTGACGCTGTTCCTTTGCTTTCTGTCACTGGATTTCTTGTGTGGAGTATTTTGATTGGTATTCTAGTTAATTAGCCCTCCTTGCAGGTGGCTGCCTCTCTTTCCTCCCTGTCCCTGTGGGCTCTTGCTGGTGCTCATGAGGTTTGTTATTGTCGTGCAGTGACCTTGCCTACCTGTGCTTCACGGATCTAAACAGAAGCTTCTGCCACGCTCCCTGCTGCACAGGTGGCCCTTCCGTTGCCTGGTATGAAATTCCTACTGTGATCTTTTGTTTTATGGGGGAAATTGGCCCATTTAATCTGGTGTTGTAATTTAGATAGCTGTGCTAACCTTGTGTTGGTTTCCTAGGACTGCCGTACAAATGACCACAGACTGGGGGCCTTAAAAATGACAGAAGTTTATTCTCTCAGGTTCTGGAGGGGGCAGTCTGAGGGCGAGGTGGCCGGGGGGCTGCGCTCCCTCCAGAGGCTCTTGGGAGGTTCCGTCTGCCTCTCCTGGCTCCTGGAGGCGCCAGGTGTCCCGGGCTTGTGGCTGCATCCCCGCAGCCTCTCCCTCGTCTCCAGGTGGCTTCTCCCTCTGTGGGTCTTCTCTCTCTGGTAAGGACACTGTCATGGGGTTTAGGGCCGGCCCAGGTCATCCAGAATGATCTTATCTCAAGATCCTTGGCTTAATCCCATCCGCACAGACTCTCTCCACACTTGGTTGTCGTCGCAGGTGCTCGGTATCTGGGTGTGGATGCAGTTTTGAGGGGCCACCACTCAGCCCACCGTAGACCCCTGCCACCTTGCGTGCTTGTTCCTTGCTCTGTGTTTCTGTGCGTGTAGCCTCTCTGGAAACCACAGCAAGTGTTACAGAGGATGTTGTAAGCCGGGCACTGTGCTGCTGAGTAAGACCGGGTGGGGTCTCTGCTCTTGTGGAACCTAAAGCTCAAAGTGCGTTAAAAACGAAAAGTGTCATATATTTTTCAATAAATAACACCCGCCTGTGATCAAAATCTAAAGTGTCTAGCAGGCATTTGCCTGGATGTCTTCCTCTTGCCTATTTTATTTTTGTTTCCTAAAAATTTTGACATCAGTGTTTCTTTAACTGAGCCCCTCTCCACATTTATTTTGTCTACTTTCCTCCAATCGGAAGTTTAGGGTAAAGGTTTACCTGCCTGTGTCCTTATGAAGCTCTCGGAATTGAGAAGCATTTCTGACCGTTCCTGTGTGCTCGTCTCAGTGGTGTCTGTTCTCACCTCTTCCCCGCTGTGTGAACTCTAGACCTGGCTCCACTTCCTCCTCCACAGGGAGGGGAGGCCACAGTGAGCGCCGTTCCTCCTGTGAAAGCGCCGCGAGGTCCTCTGTCTTCGTCCCGGCCCCCAGAAGCCACTGTCCCTCTGCTTCCCGAGGTGCGCCTGTCATTTACAGTCCCAGTGCTGACCCTCCTTGTGGGTCATTACTGACCCTGTCTCTCTTTACTTTAGTATTTTCTCAGCCGCTTTGTCCTCCTCCAGCCGATAATCATGTTGACTTCCTCCTTTTTTAGAGGAAACAGAAAAACCACCAAAAGTGATTCCAAAAGAGAAGGACCTTCTCTAGCTCTGACGCGTCTCACGTCCTGGGATCAGCAGCCTTCTTAGGACGGGCCCGTGCCTTCGTGGTGGCGCTCACTCGCCTTAACCCTTCCTGCCGCCGGAGGGAGTGAGGCGCAGAGGGGATCAGAGGCCAGATCTCCCAGCGCACAACCTCACGGTGTTGGCGTTTGCTCCCTCTCAAGATTCTCTTCAGCTTCGTGCCCTGGTGTTCCCTCGTTCTTCTCCCACCTTCTGCATTTAACCCTCCCAACCCGCCCAAGGACTTGTCGTAACGCTGTGATGAGACCTCGTGACGGAACCTGTCTTCCCATGTTCTGCCGCGCCCTGCCCGCCTTCTCCCTCTGCTTACCCTCACGGCTTCTGCTGTCGGACACATTTCCTTCTGCCTCCGTCACCCCCCCAGACATGGAGCACGTTCGCTCTCCTCTTCCTCTAGCCTGTTTGCTGCTGGTGGTCCTTCCTCTTGCTCTTTCCCCAGGACTGAGACTTGAGGTCATCCTTAACTCTTCGCTGCTTTTCCCCTACTTCATCCCTTTAGGTAAAAAATATATATCTTCCTCATTTTTGTGCTCCCAGAAGCTCCTTTGATGCTGGACAGGTGATCAGCACTCACGAACGTCCGACGAATGAACACCTGTTGATTTTTACCTTTAGACTGTTCTCTCCACTCCATTCCTCCTGCCGGCACCGTGGGTGGTTCCAGGCTTTTATCACCAATGGTGCTGTGGCTCTGGCCTTGCCCACCGGTGTCCCTGACCACCTAGCCTCTCCTTTTCTATCCACTGTACACATTACTACAACCTTATTCTTTATCTGGTTCCCTGGTTCCCAGCCATCATTTCTACGGAACAAACTTCAGACTTAGCCTGGTACTTAAGACCTCGTGCGGGCTTCTTCCACCCTAACTTTCTAGCCTTTTGCACACACTCCATAAACTGCTGTTGGTCTGAACTGCTCGCTGTTCTTCATGTGCATGTGGCCTTTTATGACTGTCTGCTTAGGTCCACTCCGGGCCTTCCTTCCCCCAGTCCTTGGGGTCTAAGTCTCTAACCCACTTTCCAAGGCGCATCTCAGATGTCACCTTTTTCAGAGGAGCTTCCCAGAATCCCTTGCAGGAAGGAATTTTTTTCTTCCTCCCAATGCCGTGCTTCTTGAGCTGTACCTTACTCGTGGCTTTATCTAGATATGTCCTGCTAATTTCCCTTACTGGACTCTCAGCCACGAGATAGTGTTTACATCTTCAGGCATTCCCTGAGGAGATACTTACTCAGTATATTGGAGGGCCGAAACTCCTTATAACTGCTGGAGTGATGTCTAACATGCTGAGTACTCCTAGTCCCTGTGCTTTGATGTGTGCTGTGTTATTTCCGTAGGACTCGGATGAAAACCGTGTGTGCACTTTCTGTGTGAAGGGGTCACTCGTAGCCGAATGTGCTGCATATGCGTTTTGATGGTGAGAACCGGCTTCCTCGTGGCCACTTCCCATTTTTCCTCCCAAGGTTGGCTCTTATTTAATGTTACTAATCTTGCCCATTGTCAACCCGTTTATCCACTTATTTCACAGATGCCTGTCTCTCGACAGCCATAGTCTGTGATTCCCTAATCTTTGCAGCTGTCAAGACGCGGGTAGATTCCCACAGCCCTTCCAGGGTTGGAAATTCGGGGTTCGCTCCCAGGAGGAAGGCGGTTGAGCTGGGCTCAGCCTCCCCTCCTGGTTCCCTCTCCTTCCTCTCCGGTGGGTTTTAGGACCCTTATCTGTTTCTGAAGTTTAAAGACCTGGTGTACTGGTGTCCGGGGTCTTTCCTCAAGCCTCCTGCCCCGAGGACGCCTTTCTGGATCTTCTGGGGATCCACGCCCAATGCTGGGAGGACCTGCGATGCGCGTTGTCTTGTCCTGGTTGTGGCTCTGTGTCGCTGGCCCTTTCGGAGTGAGCCTTAAAGTTCTCTTCAGAAGTGGATCCGCTCTCACGTGTGTGTCACTTGTAGTGGTGGCGGAATCGTCTGCATTGATCTTTTCTCGGATGCTTCAGTGTGCGTCTGTCCTGTGTCGCTTACCAGCCCAGCGGCCAGGCCTGCCTGATTCCTCTGAAGCCAGCTGTCCATCCGCCAGGTTCAATCACAGCCCTCAGGCTCCTCACCTTTTCTTTGCGTTCCTGCCAGATTGTTCTCTTCGGAGAGGCACCTTGAATATTCCTGGGGGTCCCTCCCTTCCTCCTTCCTTTCCTTCCCCCTCTTTGAAGCCTCCTTGGCCTAGCTCCTTATTTTTGAAATTGTATCTCCTTTGCTCAGACCTTGGTGATTGCTTTGAGGGTTTGGTTAGGACAGGCACTGAGTGTCATTATTTTTAAAGTGCATTTCAACTTGTTCATGAGGCCAGAGAGGGCTGGGGAGGTGGAGTCGCTCTGACTCTGCTTTGAGGCTCTCTGATGAAAAGACTGAGGGGGGCGTGGGGCGTTCTGGGTAAGGCCGACTTCTTGTTTCCTGTGTACCTTTCAGCTGTCTAAGGAGATGTGCACGAGCATTCTCGATTCAGCGGTGTGATCAGTCAGCGTGGTTGATAATGTTCTTAGATTCTGGACAGCTGTTCAGTTGATATGTGTATCGTGGCTTTTAGTTTTTAGTGGCAGCTCTTCAGGTAAAGGAAGAAAAAAATGTGATACAGGCAATATTTGCTCCTGCAATTACTGTGAATTGAAAAAGATGAGAGATTTAAAAGTATTATTATATTTTTAATGGCTTTTCCCTCAAGGAGGCGAAACTTTCCCCTTCAAGTTGGATTACATTTATCGCAGTGTGCCTTTGAGCTGGATAGTCTGCTGCAATTTTTCAGTGGAAGAATGGAGGTCTAAGTTCACACAGCTTTTCAGAATTGGGAGTAAAACCTCCTGACTCCGTCTCGGAGGCCCTTCCCGTAGGGCAGGCTGCTGACCTACAATATGTAATTTGTTTTCGATGCAATGAGAACCAGTCTGTTTGTTCAGGCAAGACCTGCAGGGTAATGAAATTTTGTCTGAAGTTTTTTAAGATCATTCCTTCTGTTTTGTAGCATCTCATTTCTTTTTACTCAAAACTTTTGCTTGTGCCTTCTATGGGGTGATGCCAAGTATCATGACTGTCAGACACATGGCATTCTTAGCCCTCTTGTTGCTTCCCTCTTCTTCCTCTTGCTCTGTCTTCAAGTCTTGCTCTGGATTCAAGACTTCAAATCACACATCTGCTCACCCTGCAGGAGGATCTCAGTGCATCCATGTCACTGGGCACCTCACGGTGATGGGGTGGGGGCCCACAGCTTCTTTGTGTGATTCTTGGGAGTTCTCCTTTGTCCTGATGCAGGTGAGTGTCACTGTGACAGCTCTCCTGGCACAGGCCACCCCTGTGCCTCTAGCGTGGTCAGAGCAGTCTGTGCTGTGCGTCTCACGTCCTTTCACACAGCACAGGAAGCCCAGGGCCATACAGCACAGGCACTGGCCTGTCTCTCTCACTGATGAACATTTGGGAATTGTGATTCTTGTATATGGAGTAACTCTACTCTTGCTTTTTAAAAAAAGTTTTGTAACAGCTTTATTAAGATAAAATTCTCGTACTATACAATTTACCCATTTAATACATACGATTCAGTGGTCTTTAGGACATTCACAGAGTCGAGTCAGCTTTAGGACATTTTTATCACCCCAGATGGAAATGCCACACCCATTAGCAGTCACTGCCAATTTCTATCCAGTGTCCCTGGCCCCGACAACCACTCGTCTGCTTTCTGTCTCTCTGGATTTGCCTGTTCTGGACGTTTCCTATAAATGGAATCATATGATACGCGGTCTCCTGTGACCGGCTTCTTTGAGTTAGCACAATGGTTTCAAAGTCTATTCATGTCTTTCTCTTGATGAGTGAGAGAGAAGGAGAGAGAGAGGTCCAGCAAGATGGAAGACAGTCTCTTGTCCCCTGAGCGTGGTGACATTGCCGCGTTCTCTTTCTGAGAAGCGTGGTACCACCACACATTCACGGGGACAGGGTCACACGGACGTGGACCCAGGAGTCAGGGATTACTGGGGCTGTTACTGGGTGGTGTTCAAGGAATGGAGTGTCGGTGTCCTTGGTGTGGGAAGTGCCGAGGACAAGAGGCCTCTGAAGTGCCCTTGGGAACGCGGTAGAATTCCTTCATGTGGATGTGCCGACAACGTGCCAGCTCCCTGCTGCTGAGGCTTTCCTGCTAAACTGGCAGCTCTTTTCTCCCCTGAGATGGCATGGTGGCGTTCGGTTCCATTTCCCTCATTTTTGTCTTACTGCATCGTGACAAAATTGTTTCCCTTTCTCTGTCTCCTGTACTCCCCCCATGGTCTCTGGAGCTTGCTGACAGTTCTGTCCCTCTCGCTTGTGCCTGCTGTTTTCATGGAGCCCTGCTCTGACCCTTTAGCTCCGTAGGTCTGTCTTTTGGAAATTGTCCTCTTTTAAATTCCTGTGTCATTGTGACTCTTCTCTACTTCCTTGGCTTTTTTGATACTGAAATCTGTGGAGCTGAATCTGGTGTTCAGGTACAGAGAACAGGCTGATAAGGTAAAATCGTGTGCTTTGCTCCTGACAGAACCTTAGAGAAAAAGCCCATAAACTATTTCAAACATGCAGAAAGTACAGAGAGTAACAGAACAGATGCTCATGTGCCCTCCACTCAGTTGGGAAGCCTTAACATTTCATTCGTTATTTTTTGCCTCAGGTTTTTAAATGTGTTTATCCACAGTTCTTTTATCGGTTCAAAATATCGTGTTGATGGCCATGTGGGTTATTTGCGTGTTTTCACCGTGATGAACCCTGCTGAGCTCATGTTCCCTTCTGCCTCCTTGAGTTTTGCCAGCCATAGGTATTTTGAAAACAAACTTTCCAGTGATTGATAAGCAAAAACAATAGGTGGTAAACACTTCTGTGATATGTTGACAGAGAAATGTTGCAGCCATTTTTAATAACATACAGGAAATAGAGAAAAATGCTTTTCATGAAGCCATTTAGATGGAAAAATGTTAGCTCGTGCTGCCTTCCATTTTTGTATTAATACTAGTGTGGCATCTTTTTTTCTAAAACAGATATTTGTATGACTATAAGGAAAACTGATGGAATATTGGAAGTAGTAGGAAAAACTGCTTTCATATGATAATTTAAGGAAATATCCCCTGCATACTTCTCTTATTCTTCTTTGTGATATTATTTATTCCAATTCAGGGGTAATCAGCCAAACCTGTGTTTCTTGTTCTTTATGTTGTACTAATCTCTAAGCAAGGATGTTTTTTAAGCTTTTATTGTGGAGAATTTCAAACACACACAAAAGCAGAGAAGATAGTACTGTGAGTCGTCATGACTGCATCCCCAGCTTCAACACGGTCGACTCTCTTCTGAGCAGGATTTTAGACTGGGGGGCTCACATTGGTTTTATGTTTAGAATGTATCATATTCGGGTAACAAATATAAACAACACTCATTTGAAGAATTATTTCACTATTCCTTTGAGGTAAGTGGCAATTATTTAGAGAACTTGTTATTATGAGATTTAAAAGTTATCCTTTTAATACAGTGTTGCTAATTTATGGTGGATTGAGTTTCTTTTCTCCATTAGTTGCTCAGGCTAATGGTCTGTTTGGCCAGTCTTCTCTCTGACAGGGAGATTGTCCGTACACTTTGTAAAAGGGCCGCGGAAGCCCTTCAGAACGCTTTGATACAGGAAGTCAGGAAACCATTCCAGCCGTTTAGAGCCTCCGTTTGTAAAATGAAGTACAGGGACCGGTTAGTAGCACCTCCTGGTCCTGCGGTGTTTGGGGACTGACCCAGAGGCTGTGTGATCCACTGGTGGCTGTGCTCATGGGTCTCCTGTGTGCTTGGGTTCCAGATAGCGGTGGTCATGGGCTCCTGTACGGCAGGAGGTGCTTACGTGCCTGCAATGGCTGACGAAAACATCATTGTCCGCAAGCAGGGTACCATTTTCTTGGGAGGACCCCCCTTGGTAAGAACATAGTCTTGATGGATTGATTGATTGATTGATTGATTGAAGTAAAATATACATAATTAAATTTGTCGTCCTAACTATTTTTAAGTTATTATCATTCTGTGGTGTTAAGTATATTCACTTCATTGTGCAGCCATCACATCTCCAGAACGTTCTCATCTTCCCCAGCTGAAACTCTGTCCCCATTGAACACTAACTCCCTATTCCCCCCACCTCCACCACCCTTGACAACCTCAGTTCTCCTGTCTCTGTGGATTTAACTACTCTAGGTATCTCCTAGGAGCGGAATCATACGGTACTTGTCCTTTTGTGACTGGCATATTTCACTTAGCGTAATGTCCTTAAGGTTCGGCCATGTTTCAGCCTGTGTCAGAATTTCCTTCCTTCTTAAGGCTGGATTATATTCCGTTGTATGTATATAGCATGGTTTGTTTATCCATTCACCCATCAATGGACTTTTGGGTTGCTTCCACTTTTGGCCTATTGTGAATAGTGCTGCTGTGAACATAAGCGTACAAATATCTATTTGAGTCCCTGCTTTCAGTTCTTTTGGGTGTATACTCAGAAGTGGAATTGCTGGATGATATGGTAATTCTGTGTTTAATTTTTTGAGGAATCACTTAATTCCTTTTATGGCTGAAGAATATCCCATTATATGGATAGGCTGCAGTTTTTATCCATTTATCATTGGCAGACATTTGGGCTGTTTCTACTTTTTGGCTATTATGAATAATGCTGCCATGAGCATTCATGTACAGATTTTTGGGTAGACATATGTTTTAATTTTTACTGGATATATACATACCTCTGAGTACCATGCTGGGTCATGTGGTAACTCTGTGTTTAACATTTTGAGGAACTGCGAAACTGTCCAGAGCGTATGTTCTGTTCCCACCGCCAGTGTGTGAGGGTCCTTGTTTCTCCACATCCTCACCAACACTTGTTATTGTGTGTCTGTCTTTGATTATCGCCATCCTAGTGGGTATGAAGTAGTACCTCATTGTGGTTTTGATTTGCATTTCCCTAATAGCTGATGATATTGAGCATCTTGTCATGTTCTTGTTGGTCCCTAATAGCTGATGATATTGAGCATCTTGTCATGTGCTTGTTGGCCATTCGTATATCTTTTTTGGAGAAACATTTATTGAGATCCTTTGCCCATTTTTTAATTGGGCTATTTGTCTTTTTATTGAGTTGTAAAAATTCTTTGTATGTTCTGGACACAAATGTCTTATCAGATATATGATTTGCAGATATTTTCTTTCATTCCATGGGTTGTCTTGTCATTTTTTTGATGATATCTTCCCTTGAAGCATGAAAGTTTAATTTTGATAAAGTCCGATTTATGAGAGAGTCCAGTTTTTTCTCTTTTTGCTTGTGGTTTTGGTGTCATGTCTGCTAAGGCGTTGCCTACTCCAAGGTCACAAAGATTTAGTCCTTGTTTTCTTCTGAGAGTTTTAGAATTTTAGCTCTTCCCCGAGGTCTGTGGTCCGTTTTGAGTCCAGTTGGGCTGTGGTTTAGGAGGCTCCAGCATCCTCCTGCATGTGGATCTGCTCCTGTCGCAGGATCGTTTCTGGAGAGGACTGTCCTTTCCCCATTGTGTGGATGTGGCTGAAGTAAAAACATTTATCTATTTTTTCTTCTACCTCGGCTGTACTGTTGTTTGACTCAAGGTCAATTACGAGTAGATAATTACACACAGGAGTTAACTTGTGTGTAAAATGGGGGGAATTGTACATTTGTAAGCTTGCATTTACATAAACTGGAGAAGACACAGTAAGGGCTGTTTAAATGCAGAGGAGAGGGAACAGGCTGGGAGAGAGACCGCTGCCTTCTCAGCCGGCGAAAGCATTACCTTCTCAAAGAGGTTAAGTTTTTCAAAAATGAAAAAATAAGAACAGGTGAGATAGAACAGCTGTGAGAGATGCTGTCAAATTCGAATCCCAGCAGCCTGTGAGCATCCCTGGTGGGCTAGCCACGCGATTTGCTGACCCCCGTGCAAAACGAAAATATGGGACCTCTTGTTCAAAGAGTAGGAAAAAAGTGCTATTAAAGGTATTAAAGTAGAAAACATTTTCCTTTCTTCTGTGGTCCCTTTACCCATCTTGGTGTTTTTTATTTGCTGTTTAGTGACATGCACCCTCAAGCATGGGATACTCCCCTCCCCAGGTGTCTCTCTTTCCAGCAGACCTGCCATCCCAACCCCAGTGGACACATGGCCCCGAGGGCGTGAGCCTCCGTGCCAGGGTGTGCTCGGTCCCCGGAGGGGCAGTGGGTGAGAGGCTAGCCCTTAGCTCCCACCCCACCCCCACGAGTCACCTGTTGTTGAACACAGCTCAGCGCAGCCAGCCCAGGCGAGTGATGGCGCTGCCGTGCTCTGTCCTGAGAACTGTGGGGTGCACGCCTGACCTCTGTCCTCCCTGTGCCCATGCCTGGCCCCCAGCAGGCAGATGTCACGGCTGCTCCTTGGGGCAGCAGGAGGAGGTAGTCAGGGCCCAGGGCCCAGCCAGCAGGGATGCAGGTAGCTGAGAACTCATCTCAGGGAGGTGGTGGGAGGCCGACCGCGCAAGGGCTGGGGCTCCAGACTCCAGCGCACATGCTCCGTTGTTCATCAGACTCCCCTTACAGAACACACACTCGGAGATAAAATCAGTGAGCTTCAGGAGGACGGCCACTGAGCATTAGGCTCCACACACAGGGCCCTTCTGAGAGTGGGACCCTGCGCGACCTCACTGCCACCTGCCCATGATGCGGGCTCTGAGGACTGGAGCATGTCATCCTAGGCTCTTCCTTGCCTCCTCTTTGCTCAGCTCCATCCTAGGGATTTTCAGTAATGCTTCATTACTCTGCCATGCATATGTCACAGCGCGATCCTGGACTTCAACGTGATAAAGAGAGGGTGGGCGAAGACACAAGTAATTACTACACCTTGCAACAAAATGTCCCATTATTTAAGTAAAATCCAAGAATGTGAAGTAGGTGAAAAGAAGAACATCAAGGAAATTATAAAACTATAATGTCCGTACAACAGGATATTATTCAGCCATAAAAAAGGAATGAAGTTCTGACAGATACCATAACATGGATGACCCTTGAAAACATTATGCCAGACACAAAAGGACACGTATTGTGTAACTGTTTCTCTGAAATATTTAGAGTAGGCAAGTTCCTAGAGGCAGAAGTTCATCAGTGGTCTCCAGGGCCCAGGAGGAGGCAGAGTGGGGAGTGACTGCAGGTGAGGGGGTCTTTGGCGAGCGAGGAGCGTTCTGGGGACGCAGGCAGTGGCGATGGTTGCACATCCTCGTGAATGAGCTAAAAATCACTGAATTGTATGCTTTTAAATGGTGAATTTTATGGTTTATGAATTATATCTCAAAAAGTAAGTTTATTGCTTCAAAAGTCTGTCAAAGAATCATCTTTGGTTCTGGATTATTAACACAAATTTGTTTAAAAGCATATGTTAAAAAGAGCGTATGCTTTCATGTGAAATAAGCGTATTTTCCAAATGATTGCATTAATTTTTAATAACTTTTATTGTGGAGAGGTAAGCTGAAGAGCTGCCATTTCAGATGTGCTGTCTCAAGACATCGTTCTCGAAGCCGGCAGGGTTTATTGTTCTCTATTTCTCTAGCTACTGTTGGTTAATGAGAGGGAAAGTCACTCAGAGTTTACCTTTGTATAGTAAAGGGAACTAGCTTTCTGAGGAGTTGTTTGTTTTTCATTAGAGAATGAGTGAAGATGTGACTGAAATGTGAAAACATCTCTTGGGGATATAGGCAGCGTCATAAAAGAGACTCAGGCTGGCTGTTCTCGAGAGGAGATTCTGTGTAGAGGTCGGCAGTTACGATGTCCACCCGTTGGCTCCGACGGAGCCTGTGCTGTGGAAGCAGCTCAGCGGCCCGAGAAGCCTGCAGTTATGGGGAGAACAATATTCACAGGCAGAAAAGGCAGCAGCAGCCTCATCTGCTTGAGAATTCTAAATTTTGATGCTTGTTTTACTGAAAAGTGAGAAAAGGTTTTGTAGGTTTCACACACGGTGTGGGGTTGAGTTGCTTTAGCTTTCAGTGGCTTAAAGTGGTTGAAAAAAGCAGGGTAATAAGACAAGATTTGAAGGACTTTTTGTTTATCTTCTGAACTTGTTATTCAGGAGGAGGAGCTGTTGTAATTTTCTCTAGGACTTTTGTCGTCTTTGCACCTATCACAGCATCAAACACGCTGTGGACGTCCAGTGAGTGCTGACCAATGACAAGTCCTGCTTTCCGTTGATATCGTCAGTTCCCTGAAAATGAATATAGTCTATCAGTTGTTTATTCCTTTTTACAACTTTAAATATCCAGACACCTCTTATATTGTCTGGACTGAATGCTGTTTTACACAGAATTTTTTGGGAAGAAGAGAACCAAGAATTTAGTTCTGGGGGTGGAATAATTGGAGGTGGAAATTTTAATTACCTCTACCTGTAGAATAATATTTTATTTAAGACAGAGCTTTTGATGTAGTGAATAAGGAACTTCTATGCTGTATTTCAGATTAATGTTCATTATTCTAATAAAAGCTTTTCCTATTTGAAAAAAGAAAGAAATCAGTCAACCCTAAGCAGTGTGAATCAATAAGCAGTTGCTAAGGGATCAGCTTGGCATTTGGCACTGAATGATTCTTCTGTCTTTTTCCTGTTAGAATTTCTCAGGCTATAGTTAAGTCCTTAATTTATTGCTTGAGGTTTCTTTGTTTTTGGTCATAATCTGCTGAATCTTTGTTGTAGGTAATCTTGGAGGTTTTTTCCCCATCTTAAAGGTATTACACCTGTAACGGTTTGTGATCAGTAACTAGCATTTTTCAGTATACGTGAAAACAGGGCATTACTTCAGTACATTTACTGAGTGTTTAGATGTGAGCAGATCACAGCTCGTGCCCTCAGGGCACTCACAGCGAGGGACCGCAGAGACACGAGCAGGGTACTGAGATGCAGCCTGCAACGGTCTTGCTGGAGACCCCCTGGGCCACGGATGAGCGGGTGTTGCTCTGTGAATGGTGACAAGGCCCAGGGGTCAGGGAAAGGTGATGTGAGGGGGAGCTTGAAGGATGAGTCGGGACTCTCCAGGTGGGTGAGTGGGAGGGCGCCCAGGCAGTGGGTGGGCGTGTGCGCAGACAAATGCTCAGCCTGCGTGTGGAGGCAGCACGACTCGGGGAGGACGGTGAGCTTTCTGGCCAGAGACGCCTGGCTCCCTTTGGGGGCTGGGCAAGTTCCTTCGCGCCCCTGGGTGCAGGTGTTCATCTGTACACTGGAGACGGTGTACCTCAACTTGGTGGAAGGGAGAGTGGCAGGCGTAGGAGGCCGGGTGTGCATGTTGGGAGAGCATCGCCTGTCTCACCACCGACCTTTATCGTCCGTCACAGGTGAAAGCAGCGACCGGAGAAGAGGTGTCAGCCGAGGACCTGGGGGGCGCCGACCTCCACTGCAGGTGCTGCAGCGGCCGTCTCCTGCCAGGGTTCACGGCCCTTTGTTGGTTTGTTTAAGAGAAGTTTTAAATTATTTTTTCCAAGTGCTGAACTGGCCGGATCAAACCACAGTGTGTTGTCCTCGAGCTGCTGTTTGAGGGTTCACTTTGAACTGTAGGGGTGCATTTCCAGGCTGGAGCATCAGCTTTTCCCAGAAGGACTGAGAGGCCGTTTGTTTTTCTAGCAGACGTCCATCGAGCACCAATTGTGTGCCAGGCACCGTTCTGGGTATTTGGGATAATTCGATAGACGTTGCCTTTGACGTCAAGGAGCTTGCATTCTAGTCAGGGTGGTGGCAATAAACAGCCAGTTACCAAAACCTTATATAAATATAGTGCGCACACCGCAAGGCCTGTGAAGGGGAAGTTAGGGAGAGCCCAGCAGGGGGTCTGACCCAGTGCGTGCAGGTGTTATGACTGTTGAGTTAGCATTTGTTAAGTGGCGCACAGATGCCGAATGGTGAGCCCTGGTCCAGAACAGACCACACAGAGGTGGAAATACAGGAGTTTATTACCCACAGGTCCTGGAGGAAGTACGTGAGTGCCTCAAGGGGCTGTGTGGGGAGGTCAGGGCCGAGTGCAGGCAGTGAGGCAGGACCTGGGGCACAGGCCTGTGTTAGGGTCTTTGGGTGGAGTGCTTCGGGGTCCCAGGGTAGGGCCAGATTGGTCAATTCATATGCAAAGAGCAGGGTTCAGGTGAGCCCCATGGGGTCTCATCTAAGGGGTGCATAAGGCACACAAGTGCTAGGAGGCAGGGGAGGCTGTGGCCACCAGGGGCTGTTGCGAAGTCACATCAGGACCTACGTTTGCTGTGGCTCCATGGCTGCTGTCTGGGGCATGTGCCTGCGTGAAGGGCCAGTGTCAGTTTAAGGTCCCTGCAGGCCACTTGGCCAAACAGAATGACGCGCAGGCAGCAACACCATGGAGTAGCTCAGCTAAATTCCACAGCAGGTGAGCATTTAACAGCAGGGTCTCTCGGAGGAAAACGTCCTGCTCTGGCATCTGCTAGTTTCTGTGGTGTAAGTTGTCCCACCATGGCTGATTTCAAACTACCAAGATGACACCACTGAGCGTGGAATCGGGGAGGGATGGACCATTGGCTCTTGTGTGTCGGGTGTGAGTGGCCCCTTGACATCACTGGTCCGACAGTTTTAGGTTAGAGTTTAAGATTAAGAAGACCATTGGGGCCAGCCTGGTGGCATAGTGGTTAAGTTCGCACGGCTCTGCTTCAGCAGTCCAAGGTTCACATGTTTGGATCCTGGGTGTGGACCTAGCACCGCTCATCAAGTCACACTTGTCTGTGGCGGCGTCCTGCATAAAATAGAGGAAGGTCAGCAACAGACGTTATCTCAGGGCTAATCTTCCTCACCAAAAAAAAATAAAGAAGACCATCTATGTCCTAGAATTTTATGAGGAGTGAATGAGGTGATACATGTAAATCATTTGAAATGATACCTGCTTTAAATAAGTACCTATAAATGTTAACTACCACTATTATTATTTATCATCATAACTGGTGATTAAAGGTTTTAGACTTTTTTTTTTAAGAGCAATTAGGAAATCATGAGCAGCTTTTTTTTTTTCTTTTTCTGCTGAGGAAGATTCGCCCTGAGCTAACCTCTGTTGCCAATCTTCCTCTTTTTGCTTGAGGAAGATTTGCCCTGAACTAACTTCTGTGCCAGTCTTCCTCTATTTTGTATGTGGGTCGCTGCCTCAGCATGGCCAATGAGTGGTGTAGATCTGCCCCTGGGAACTGAACCTGGGCCACTGAAGCAGAGGGCGCCGAACTTAACCACTGGGCCACAGGGCAGGCCCCCAGGAAGAGCTTTAAGCAGAGATGTGCTGTTATCAAATATTTCACTAAAGATCCCTCTGGCTGCTGACTGGAGAGGGCTTGGAGTGCTGGCAGAGTCTGTGTGGGAAGTCGGGCGGCTGCGTCCACAGCGTGGGTGAGGGATGCTGGGCCTGAGCTCCGTTTAGAGGTGGGATCGAGGGCCTTGGATGTGGTGGATTTCCTGTACGGGGCACAGGAAGGTGAGGTGACAAAGGTAATGACGTGAGGTGGTTTCATTTCCTGGACTGGGAAGACGGGGAGGGGTGGATTGGGGATGGGGCAGGGGCTCCAGCGTTCCTTTTGGACCTGAGAAGTGAGAGATGCCTGAGACATCCCAGCAGCGATGCTGAGGAGGCAGCTAACTCTGAGTCTGGAGCCTGGATCAGTGCTGAGGACATGTGCTTGGCGTCCTCAGCGTGGAGGTGGGCTTTGAAGCCCTGGGACTAGCCGAGCTCGCTGGGGTGGATGTCGATGTGGAAGAGGGCCTGGGACGTGAACGGCAGGTGCATGTAATCCTCCAGCCCCGTGGCCGGGCAGGTGCTCTGCCAGATGGACACGCCAGGACGCGGGCGCTGCGGGAACGGTGCAGAAAGCGGGGGAGGAGTACAGCATGGCCTGCCCACTGTCCCATCGTGAGCACTGCCCTGCCTGGTGAAGGGCAGGCCAGGGCCCTGCCTCGCTTCGGGTCTCATTTGTTCCTTTCTCCTCGAACGATTACTGTGGATGGATTGAGTGTGCTGTGTTGTGAGTAATGCACAGAGTTTCAGGCCTCGCCTCTCCCCTCAAGGATTTGCAATTTAATTAGGCAGATAAGAGAAATGAATGAATGAACTGAAAAACAATTCCAAAATACCTGTGGTAGCATGCTTCCAGTGTTACAGCCAGAGGCGAAAGGAAAAGTGGTTCAGGGAAGGAGTGGAGGGAGCTGGGGTGGGCAGAGAGGAGCGCGGGGCGGGGGAGAACATGGGTTTCTGCCCGAGTGTGCCCAGCATGCTGACTCAGGAGCACCACCCGTGAGCAGAGGGCGGCTCTCTTCTCTGGCTCTCCCGACGTCCCCAGGCGTGGAGTGGAGGTTCAGCCTGGAGAGGAGGAGGGTGCAGGTGGAGCGGGCGCGTGGGCTCAGGACACAGAGGGCTCCTGACCAGGCAAGGAGATAGTGTTTGAGGAGCAGTAGTTGTTTAAAAAGTTTGACTGTCTGGAAACAGTTGTGTGGTGCAAAGCTGCAGGCGGTATGTCAGGTTAGGGTGCGGGTTCAGAATTCGTCCTGCGTTAGTCTCACTTTGAAACCCCTGTGGCTGGACAAACCGCGTAACCTCCTTGGGCCTCCCTTCCCCATGTGTCAAATGAAGACGAGACTAGTTCCGGCCTCGAGTGAAGGTCGGGTGCAGACCCGCTCCCTGTTACTTCCAGCTGCTGTTGCTGGTGATAGCCTGTTCAGAATCACGGGAAGTGGTTAGGTACTGATGGCTTTTTTTGGACAGTGTCATAAAATTTACTGGTCACAAACCGGGTATTTCTATCTCTTTGATTAATCATCCGTAGTAGTTAATTTGGCATAAAGACATATAAGATAGTCTCATCAGCGGTTTCCCCTTCCTGCTGTTTTGGTAAGTACCAGGCAGTTTTTAAAAGAAAGCACTTGACTTTAAATATTTACGGACTTGGAAGCAGGTCCTTCTTCTGTTTGCTTATGAATTTCTACAGTGTGGCTAGCAGTCAGCAGTTGTAGCTGGTGGGAAGCATTTAAAGTGTGTGATCTGGGACCGGCCCGGTGGCGCAGCGGTCAAGTGCACACCTTCTCCTTTGGTGGCCCAGGGTACACCAGTTCGGATCCCGGGTGCGGACATGGCACCGCTCATCAAACCATGCTGCGGCAGGCATCCCACATATAAAGTAGAGGAAGATGGGCACGGATGTTAGCCAGGGCCAGTCTTCCTCAGTAAAAAGACGAGGATTGGCAGATGTTAGCTCAGGGCTGAGCTTCCTCAAAAAAAAAAAAAAAAAAAACCAAAAAACAAAACAACAACAACAAAATGTGTGATCAGTTGAAAAAGGGGCATTAAATTAAAGAGGCTGAAGGGACCGCCGTTTGCAAAGGCATCAGAGGGCCGCAGAGGGGTGGGCGTGGTGTTGGCTCCTCCTTGGGAACTCCCGGCCAGAGGAGCACGGTGACATGACCCATCGAGAGCCTGTCCTTGCAGGAGAGACGGTAGCGGGGTCTGAGACGGGGCGTGATCTTCCTCTGCCTGCTCTGACCGTTTCAGTGCACTTTACTCTGCAGACAGTCCGGAGTCACTGACCACTACGCTCTGGATGATAACCACGCCCTGCACTTGACCAGGAAGATTGTGAGAAATCTAAATTATCAGAAGAAATTGGATGTGAGTGGGATATGTTCTTTTATCTTTTATTTTCCTGAGAAGCATTTTCGCTTATGTTACCTTGAAACAGTGTCTTTAAACTGCTTAGCATGATCTTTCTATATTTCTGCAGGTGACCGTCGAGCCTTCTGAAGACCCTCTGTTTCCTGCTGATGAATTGTATGGAATAGTTGGCGCCAACCTCAAGAGGAGCTTTGACGTCCGAGAGGTGTGTGCAGCGGGCTGGGGCTATAGACTTGCCGCTGTCTCTTCACACGTTTCCATGTTCAAAGCTGAAGTCTGTATGGATGTGCTCATGCCCGGGGCCGTGGTGGACCCCAGGGAAGAGTGACACCTCGGGAAAGATCCTCTCCATGGTGTGGGCGTCATCGGTGCCCAGTAAATAGCAGGAGAGGGAGGGGAAGCCTCTGCTCATTGGAAAGCTTTCACGGTGACAGAGCCCGGTGCGTTCGTAAGCAGGACTCGGTGTCCCTGTGGGCGTTAGGAATGATGGAGGGCAACTTCGTAATTTTCAGCTGTTTCTTTTCAGTGGTCTTATTTCAGGAAATGGATGAAATGTCAGAAAGTTGTTGAAGGAAAAAGCAGGCCCTTTTAGATCAATCTGACATTAGCAAAGCTTGGGCTTCCGATTCCAGTAGAGGACGTCGCTATGGCTACAGGCTGAGGTCTGCATGACAAGCATCTGTGTTTGCAGAGAGCACGTGGTCTTTTATTTTGTTCAGTGCCCATGTCTGGCAGAATAATTTTTAAATTAGCAAATTAATACCAGATTCTATGCCTTAATATTTTAAGTTACTTTTCCTCTTGACTATAAAACTATCACATACTAAGTGTGCAAAATGTAGAAAATACAGGAAAACATAAAATTGCTTACAATTCTACCATCCGGAGAAAGCAGTTAATATTTTCATGTTTTGGCTTAATTGTGTATATTTTTATCTAGTTGAACTGGTACATACACATAGATAAATATACATATATATTTTTAAAATTCTGCTTTTTCTAGTTTAAATTATAAACATTTCCCCATTCTCTAGTTCTTCATGAAGTGTTTTCCATGGCTGGGGCTTAATTCCTGTAAGAGTACCTGGAGACGTGGTAGGCACTCTGTAAATATTTTTTTGAATTAATGAATATGGTATTCTGCTTACGCATGTGTACAATTATTTATTTAGGCAATATTCTACTACTGTTAGAGAATCTTAAATCCTGGATTTCTATGGCGCTTCAACTGGTACTTCACTTTAGCTAGGTGGCTTAGTGAACTCTGCATTTTAGAATTAGGCTTTTAGTTTGACTTTTCAATTAATTATAAGCACAGGAAGGAATGGTACTTATAAATTTGATGTCATTGAAAAATGAGTTGTTCTCAATAGCCCGGTTTTCTAGAGGATAAAAATTCACCCTTTTAAGCATAGCCACTCTTTTCATGTATTCAACAGTATTTATTGAATGCTTGTTCCGGGAAGTATTGTTTTAGGCACCAGGGTTCAGAGATGAGCAAAACATACAAATCCAGGCCTTGGTGTAGCTCCCTGTCGTTTTAATGGAGGTCTTTCTATAAAGACAGACTCTCGCTGCCTTAAATAGCGTCCTGGACTCGTGCCTTTTGCTGTCACGTTCCTCGTTGTGAAGATAATGTATTAGTTTTTCTGTCCGGCAGGCAAGCCTCGTCTGGAGGTCTTACTGGTGTCTGGAGCTGTGGGACGGCCTGGAATAGAGCGGAAACCCAGGCTCTAGTCCTTGTTTCCTTAGTCAGCGGTACTGGTCATGACCCTTTCTGAGCACCGAGTCCTCTTCTGGAAAGAGGAATGATGTCATGTTGTCTGTCTGCTTCCTGCAGTCTGTCTTTGTGAGGATGCCTTCATGTATTTTACGTGGCTGGGTGGTGTGATCATGAGCAGATAGAAGTAGTTTCACAGTAAGCGGCCCTGGGTCGTGTGCCCTTTGAGTGGCTTTATGTTCGTGTGGAAGGATGGTATGTGCTGATTGTTTTTTGTTTTTTTAAACATACAATTTTGGAGGTGCATAGCACTTAGAACAGATAACTGTTCTATCCCCATTATATTATTGGAACTTTCAGGAAAATAACTAAAAGATAATTCAAAGTAAGGTTTTGCTTTCTGGAAAGAAAGATACTGGGCAGCACTCAGTCATTTTTCAGCCCTTGCGTCTTACAAAGAAGGCTGTGACCGACGTGGTGACGAGGAGGAGGAAGTTTGAGCTGGGTGGAAGATGATGAGCGTCATCTAGAACAGTTTCTGGAGAAATTTGGAGTGCGCTTCATGTTTGGAACTCTTTGAAATAGTCCTGAGTAAGGATGAGCCCCAACGACAAACTATTCAGTAATTGCTGCTGCTTTTAGATTAACTCTGTGTATGCGGGATGATCCTGGAAGTCTGTCGGCTTCATAGTCAGTGAGCTCTGTCGAAGGCTTAATAACGATAACTGCCTTTTACGGACAGCCAGGCGGTGTGCTTCAGTTAGCACTTTTTAAGTCTTGTCTTTTTTTCTTTTAAACAGCTGAGGAAGACGGCTCAGAGGATTTTAGTTTACTAGCCTATGACTCTCATTTTTCAGTGGTAGAGCTAGAGCTGGTTCTTCATCTCAGCATTATTTTCTTAGGTTCCTTTACTGCTGGTTCGTCATGTCTTCACGACTTTGTCACATCTTTGTAGGAGTGAGAACCGATACTCTGAGGGGTTAAATACCATACTCCAGGACACACAAATCCCATGTGATACCTTAGGTCGGAGTCTAAGTCTTCTGACCCTCAGCTCTCTACCTTCTAGAGCTTTCTGAGGGAGTCCGTGACAGTACGTTCAGTACATTTGAGCAGGCCCTGCAGCTCTGAGGCTAGCAGCCAGCCCACGGTCTCTCTGCTTCTCTGCTCTGCACATGGTGCTCCTGCTTCTATAGCACAGTGTAAAATCAGAACCCAGAACAACTTCAGGGCATTAACCGCGAACGCAAAGTAAAATTCTAGTGAGAGGATTTTCTGTGTAGGGTGAAGTTTTGTGAAAGTGACAACTTCTCTATGAATTTGTTTTCCTTATAAATAACTTTAATGCAACAGTTCTTTGGTAATATAATTTCTCAGGGACACTTATTTTTCCTCCTAGGTCATTGCTAGAATCGTGGATGGAAGCAGATTCAGTGAGTTCAAAGCCTTGTACGGAGACACGTTAGTTACAGGTACAAAGATGAAGAATTGACAATGTGAACCTTCTCTGATGCTTTGAAGATAAGTCATTCCTCGTATCAGGCTGGATGCGCTCGGCAGGGGCTTTGTTATTTACAGCAGTACAAGTATGTGAGTCAGTATCAAAAGGAGCTGTTTGTAAAGATTGCTTGTAGCTGAATGGCTTCATGCATCCAGAGAGTTTAAAATGATGCCGGTCAGATGCTGTGGGGTGGGCCCTTATCTGTGACTTTGAGGCATTAGCTGTGTAAAAAGGTTCTTATCCTAGTAAAATTAGCAGAAATATTTGTAGTTCTTTTTGTTACTGTGGATAACTATCATTATTTCGAAAATTTCAGTACTCTCTCCTTCGTTCTTTAGTCTCCAACTCAACTAGGAAGTTACATATGATGTGTGGCTTCCTGGAAGGATGTAGACTGAGTTAAAGCTTCTCACAGCCTCTGTGTAGGTCTTCGTCGATTCACGCAAACGCTAGGTTGAGAATACAGCAGTTGCCCCCTTATCCAAGGGTTTGCTGTCCGTGGTTTCAGTTACCCACGGTCAACCACGGTCTGAAGATATTAAGTGGAAAACTCCAGAAATAAACAATTCCTAACTTTTAAGTTGCACACCATTCTGAGCAGTGTGAGGAGATCTCTCGTAGTCCCGCTGCATCCCACCCGCGCCGTCCAGCGGGTCGCCCATCGTCTAGCGGATCCACGCAGTACACACGCCCCGCCCGGTAGTCGCTGAGTAGCCTCTTGGTTATAGATCGACTATCGTGGTATCACGGTGCTTGTGTTGAAGTAACCCACATTTTACTTAGTAATGGCCCCAAAGTGCAAGAGTGGTGATGCTGGCGACTCGGATATGCCCAAGAGAAGCTGTAAAGAGCTTCCTTTAAGTGAGAAGGTGAAAATTTTCCACTTAATAAGGAAAGGAAAAGAATGGTATGCTGAAGTTGCTAAGATCTATGGTAAGAATGAATCTTCAACCCGTGGAATTGTGAAGGAAAAAGAAATTTGTGCTGGTTTTGCCGTTACACCTCAATTAGGTACGTATAGGTAAAAATATAGTACACTCGTACCACGTAGCGATGTTTTGGTCAAGGATGGACCGCACGTGCGACAGTGGTCCTGTAGGGTAAGTCCCTTACAGCCTAGGTGTGTGTAAGTGCATCCGTGATGTTCACACGATGGCGAAGTCACCTAACAGTGCATTGCTCAGTAGAAGGCCCTGCTGTTCACTGAGGCATGCCTGTACATACAGGGCTGCATCCTGTCCTCGGTCTCACGCTTCCACTGGGAGTCCTGGAACATATCCCCTATGGGTAAGGGGGGACCACAGTAGAGGACAGAATACCAAGTCTGAAAAAACAAAATAAGGAGGTTTATAAGGTTAATTCGTTCATCTAAAAGTGTTAAGGTTGTAGGTCTTTGAAGAAAGTATTTGAAATGCAGATGCTAGACCCATGATAATCTATCATAGAGAAATGGCAAAACAAATTTGGGCATTTTATTTGGCCTTATCACAGCTCAAAAACGTAGCAGTTAACCTGAAGACAGCATATCAGAGTAGAAAAAACAACCAGCTGCAGAAGTCCGAGTTGCAGATGTGCGTCGAAGCTCGAGGCGAGTCACAGCACTTCCTCCCGGTCTGACCCACGAGCACGAGACGGCTGCACCCTGGGAGCGGGCTGAGGGTTTGTGCTCAGGTGTTTAGTGATCAGGAGCTGCTTGTTTGCTGTATAGACAGGATTTGTCACCAGATAGTTCAGGATGTAACCTCACTGTGCAGCAGCTTAGAACAAGTTAAAGCTGTGTCTGCTTTCTCACAGGTGGATGGGCTGTCCTTGTCATCCGTGTTTACGTATTTGCTCTGTACTTGACAGAATACTTGTGAACCTTAGCTGTCTAGAATTCCAGGGGTAGATCCAGTTTCTTCCATCTCTTCTGGACTGTATTGGAACTCAAAGTTGGAGAGAGGGGAGGGAAGTGAAGAAGAGAAGAGGGGCGGGCATGGGAGGGCCAGAGGGGCAGGAGAAGGTGAGGAGGGGGCATGAGAGGGTGGGGGCGGGGTGTGAGAGGGTCAGGGGGCATGAGAGGGTCAGGGGCTCATGAGAGGGCCGGGGGGGAGAGGAGAAGGTGAGGGGGTATGAGAGGGTGGGGGGTGGCAGGAGAAGGTGAGGGGGTATGAGAGGGTGAGGGGGTGGCAGGAGAAGGTGAGGAGGGGGCATGAGAGGGTCAGTGGGCATGAGAGGGTCAGGGGGCATGAGAGGGTCGGGGGCTCATGAGAGGGCCGGGGGGACAGGAGAAGGTGAGGGGGCATGAGAGGGTGGGGGCAGCAGGAGAAGGTGAGGGGGTATGAGAGGGTGGGGGTGGGGCGTGAGAGGGTTAGGGGGTGCATGAGAGGGTTGGGGAGGTGTGAGGGTGAGGAGGGGGCACGTGAGGGGGTCGGGGTGCATGAGGGGGTGAGGAGGGGCGTGAGAGGGTCAGGGGGGCGTGAGAGGGTGAGGAGGGGGCGTGAGAGGGTCGGGGGGGACATGAGAGGGTCAGGGGCATGAGAGGGTAGAGAGGGCATGAGAGGGTTGAGGGGGCGTGAGAGGGTCAGAGGGGGCGTGAGAGGGTCGGGGGGACATGAGAGGGTCAGGGGCATGAGAGGGTAGAGAGGGCGTGAGAGGGTTGAGGGGGCGTGAGAGGGTCAGAGGGGGCGTGAGAGGGTCGGGGGGACATGAGAGGGTCAGGGGGCATGAGAGGGTAGAGAGGGCGTGAGAGGGTTGAGGGGGCGTGAGAGGGTCAGAGGGGGCGTGAGAGGGTCGGGGGTACATGAGAGGGTCAGAGGGGGCATGAGAGGGTAGAGGGGGCGTGAGAGGGTCAGAGGGGGCGTGAGAGGGTCGGGGGGACATGAGAGGGTCGGGGGGGACATGAGAGGGTCAAGGGGCATGAGAGGGTCAGAGGGGGCATGAGAGGGTAGAGGGGGCATGAGAGGGTAGAGGGGGCATGAGAGGGTCAGAGGGGGCGTGAGAGGGTCAGAGGGGGCGTGAGAGGGTCGGGGGGGACATGAGAGGGTCAGGGGGCATGAGAGGGTAGAGAGGGCGTGAGAGGGTTGAGGGGGCGTGAGAGGGTCAGAGGGGGCGTGAGAGGGTCGGGGGGGACATGAGAGGGTCAAGGGGCATGAGAGGGTCAGAGGGGGCGTGAGAGGGTAGAGGGGGCGTGAGAGGATCAGAGGGGGCATGAGATCGAGGGTGCCGTGGGGGGCGGTGATGGGGAGCAGAGCAGACGTTGCTGAGGCTCAGGTGCCTCCGCGGCCCCCAGGCTCCCTCCCTGGTCCTCGTGTGGTGCCTGTGGCTGCATGTGTCCGCAGGGCGGTCGGGAGAGGCCGGTAGTTCTCGGAGCGGCCGTGCACTGAGGGGTGGCAGGGGCCCCGCTCCTTGTGGGGCGGTGCTCAGGGCCTTGCCAGGCCTTTGGGACGTCCACCCCTGTGGTGCCCTGCCATTCAGGGAGACCAGCACAGGCCCTCAGTTGGGATTTCAAACCTGGAAGAGCCAGAGGAGTCTAGGTGACCATCACGTCCGTGGTGCATTTTATTGCATCATAAACAGAATTTTTTAAAGATGGTAAGTCAAGGCCAGAGTAAAGAAAAGGTCAGGCCATTAGCACTCGGCACGGCAGCTTTGGCAGCCGAGAGCCCCTGTCCCTGGGTCGTGGGCCCGGGGAAAGTCTGCTCGGGCTCTTCAGGGCGACAACGAGTCAGCCTCCCAAGTCGAGCTGTCTGCCTCGGGGAAGAATGGGTTGGTTTGTCCTTGTCCTTCTCCCTGTCCTGTGTGTGTGTGTGGAGAGAGGGTCTTTGGAGAGAGTGGGAGTGGTGGGGGGATAAACACCAAACTTATGGAAAGGTGGACAAACGATGCGGACAGAGGAAGTGACAGTGGAGTGGTTCATCCTTCTGAGCTTGGCTGGGTTGCTCGCCTTGGACCGGGTTCTCGCCGGGCTTGACCTGTTCCTGCTTTTTGCACAGCTTGCCTTTGCTGGCTGGATCCCCTTTTCTTCAAGGGCCTGTCGTTACCACAGGCATTTTGGGCACGCGGGTCCCCTGAAGCTGGCCAGGGCCCTGCATGTCGAGCTTTAAGGGCCCCCGTCTCTTGGTCGTCTGCCTCACCCTGTGCCCGGTGTCCCATCCGCAGTGGCACCAGGCGAGTGTGACTGAGCGAACGGATAACACAGCCCGAGCCCATCCTTCGACCGAACCGAGCGGGCGGACTGGCGGGTAGCTTGACACAGATGTACCCCTTTCACAAAAGCAAATTCAGACTCCGGTAGCTTAGAAACAGGAAGCTGTGACATGGGCTGTTTCATATGATAGACAAACCTCCACAGGGAAGCTTTGATCTGAAATAAAGGTGTATGAGTATGTCTGTTGTGAATTCAAAGCCCTCTGAAATGCATAAATCTTTCTTGAATTTTCTTTTGAGGATTTGCTAGAATATTTGGATACCCAATAGGTATCATTGGAAATAACGGAGTTCTCTTTTCTGAATCTGCGAAAAAGGCAAGTACGGACAAAAATGTTTCGAGATTTTCTGTTTTAATTTAAACTTAATGAACTTTGAAGGTCAAATAATGAATGAAAATTTATTGCATAAAAGCTTTAAAATGTTTAACCAGCTGCCTTAGCAAATGGAGCACTGTGTCTGCGAGCACGTGAGCACGTGTGTGGGCTAGTGTTGGGACAGGTTTCCCGGAGGTTTACGTGGACATGGTGAACTGTCTGAGGGCTGTTGAAGAGTCCAGCGTTCGCTTTAGGAAAGTTCTAAGATGCCCGGGTTGTGTCTGCTCTGATGGCGTGGGCGTGGTCCGCGGCTGTGGGAGCGCTTGTCCCAGAGGAGGCTCATCTCCCGGGCTTCACACACCTGAGGGGCTCAGACCTACCGTTCGGGTGTCGGAGGCGTCCTCCGATTGCTCTGTTGTATCCCGTCCTCAGTTTCACTTGGTTTTATTTTCACTTTTTGGAAATGGTTCCTTGTTTTTTTCCTATCTTTTTTTTTAAAAACAAAATTGATGTTGCCATATATAGAGAGATTTTGCTTTTTTTCATTTAAATGATTATGTATAGCATTTCCTAAAATAGTAAATATTGCTAAAATAGTGACTTTTAATGGACGTATAATAGACTTATTTCTGTAGAGGCAATGTCGGCCTCACAGACTCCACCTAGGTCTGTTTGTCAGCACGAGTCACGGGAAGCGGGAAGCGTGTTTGGCCTCCGTCTGACAGTTCCCTTGTGGAAGGAGGGCCAACGGCTACGTGACTTCCTCATTCTTGTATTTGAGGCTGAGTAGTTACTTTGTGCTTTTGTACTTGCAAAGGCATTTCCAGCAAAGTTAAAGGGATCTGCAAAGAGAGAGTAAAATATAAAGGAAAGATTTAGAAGGGTTTTCTTACATAATCTTCAGAAGATCAGGAAAGGAATAGTTATATTTTTGTGTTTTTAAATAATTTCCTAAACTCACGGTTAGAAGGTCTCTAGCACTCATCCGAGATCCCATTTATTTGGGGCATGTTGGTAAGAAAGATGTGTTTTACTGTAATCTTATGCGTGAAAAAATTTCAGGGGATCATCAACACAGATGTCGTCATAGATCTCCCAGAAGGGTTCTAGATTACACTGCACCTTCTTTAAAGTGGAGAACGGGAGTTCTCATGCAGTGAGGTCCAGGGATCCTCATGGACGAGAAGTTCTTTCTTGTTACTTAAGTTCCACTTGCTGTTGGGAATGTTAGTGGCTGACGTCCTCCCTGACTTGGCTGTCCGACAGCTCTGTCCAACACTGTGTGCCATAGGTGAGAGCACAAACCACAGCCCCTGTCCCTCATAGCGGCCCACACCGTCATGTTAGGTTACTGTTACTGTCAGATCAGACTGGCCAGGCAGAGCGGACTCCTTATCTTTCATCCAAGTGTGGTGTTGTGGGGTGTATGATGCTGACAGATTTGTTAACCCCCCCTTTAAAGAGATTTCTTTCTTATTTGCTAATAGGGGGCTCACTTTGTCCAGTTATGCTGCCAAAGGAAAATTCCTCTGCTCTTCCTTCAAAACATTACTGGTAAGAAAATGGCTCAGTCAGCTTGGTTGCAGATAACGCTGGAGCAGCCTGTCGAGGACGGCTCCGACATTGGACAGTGCAGACATGGGACGCTTAGATAGTAGCAGAAGGTGCTATTGGGCGTGGTCCTTCTAGAGTCCCTTTCAGGGTTGATTCTTATGAACCTTAAAGACTGGGGGAGTTTATTCATATTTTCTAAGAGAAGCAATCTCTGAGTTACGTGCATCACGGTCAGTGGCCCCCTTTCCTCCTGCACCTGCAGCCCCGCAACCCAGACAGCAGCGGGAACCCCTGATTGCCCTGGTGGGGTGGGTCGTCTGGCCCATCGTCTCTTTTTCAGGACTTTGTTCCCCTTCAAGGGTTTCAAGTGTGTGTTTTCGTCTCCCTTTTCCTCACCTTTCACTGTGCAGTTAATTCTACCTGAAGCAACATCTTTTTAAAATGTACATGTGCATCCTGAACCAAAGTCTGGGCATTTGACTTTTGACCCCAAAGAATGACATGAACAGTGTCACGTCCATAGATGGTCTTAACATGGTAGACGAAGTGGCTTGTTTTTTTAAAAGATTTTATTTTTCCTTTTTCTCCCCAAAATCCTCCAGTACATAGTTGCGTATTTTCAGTTGTGGGTCCTTCTAGTTGTGGCATGTGGGATGCCGCCTCAGTGTGGCCTGACAAGCGGTGCCATGTCCATACCCAGGATCCGAACCGGCAAAACCCTTGGCTGCTGAAGCAGAGCATGTGAACTTAACCACTCGGCCATAGGGCCAGCCCCCCAAAGTGGTTTTTAAGGTCTCTTCTGGCTCCAGTTCTTTTTTTCCTGGAATTCTGTGATTCTCTTGTTTGTATTTCTTTGCACAGTACCTGACATATGGAAGGCACTCAGAAATGTGGGTTAGCTGAAAACTTCTTTTTCTCCCCAGTCTTCTGCATTATCCATGGATCTCATGGGTTCAGAGGAAGGCGAGGCTCTGAGTAGTTGTTGGGATCGGGCAGGTGTTGCGAGAAGAGGGAGTTGGCACTCGACAGTCGCAGGGCGTTAAATAGAGCTGGTGCTGAAACGCCTTCGTCTGGCGCTGCCCTGAAGTTTAAGGGATTTTTGTTAGATGGGTTTGAGAGTTCTGTCTAGAGGGCAGCCTGAGAGGCCATGGGCAAACCTCGTAAAAGGGCAGAGTCTGCAGCTTCACTGGTCCGGGGGCCTCGTTTCTGATAATGAGTCATGATTTATTAACCACTAGTAGGTTAGACCTTGTGCCTGGAAGGGTCAGTGCTCGTCTCGTTTTATTTTGTTGGCTGGGTTGGGCAGAGAGCAGAGGGTGAGTCTGAGTTTGGCTTGGCAGCGTTGCATTTGCGGGAGCTGTGCGACATTCATGGGAGGCACACGGTTCGCAGCTGAGTAAATCTTCAGCACAGAAGAGCTGTGTTAGCTGGAGGTGAAGACGTGGCAACCTCAGAGTGTGGAGGTGTGTTTCAAGCTATGGGCAGAGGTAAGAACACCCTCAGAGAAGAGAAGGGAGCTCAGAGGCATCTTTGAGTGACTCTCGTTTCTTCCACGGAGGTGAGAGGAAAGGAAGGAAGGGAGCATGATACGCTGTTTCTTAAGGTGAGAGAGAGAGGAGAAAGCCAAATGAGGCGGCCTCAGCTTTCGTCTTGAAAGATCCTCCACAGGGACTGCAGGGGCCGGGGGTGCTGGGCAGGGCGTGAGAGCTTACAGAGAGTCGACAGGTGAGAGAGTGATGGCGGCCTGTCACAGGGAGTTAAGGTAAGGGCGACACAGGAGTTTCTGAGCTGTCCTGGGGGCCCAGCTCAGGGGGAGCCAAGGAGGCGATGGTGCCTGGTGAGGGCGAGGGCTGTTCGTGAGCTCTGCTGTGGCCTCAGCAAGTGCAGGTGCTGTGTAAAAACTGGTGGAATTGAGTTGGATGACCTGATGCTGGAGATCTGCAGAGCACGCACCCTGACTCTCCAGTGGGCGGGTGAGTGTGGGGTGGGGCAGGCAGGTGAAGCCTGGCCAGCGTTTCTGAGTGACGAGGAGGGAGCCTGAGGCCGGGAGGCCCAGTGGAGCTGCGGACCCGGGAGCTTGAGGAGGAGGATTCGTAGTTAGATGAAATCTTTCTTGCCCTGCTCTTGAGTGACTGACAGGGACTCTGAGCAGCCCTGTGAAACGTTCGTCTTTATTCCATCAAAGTTTGAAAGCAGCACTTACTTCAGAAGGAACAGTCTGTGTTTCAAACCAAGTCAGCGACTGCCGAAGCCCTCACAGGTCGCCACGTCACACACCGTCCTCTCCTGCTTGTCACGTCATCCCTGCACCAGCAGGCTGCTGGTGTGAGAGAATTTCTTGAAGATAAATTGCATCCTTAAGTTGTTTGAAGATCTCGTATGCATCCACATGAACAGTTTTAAGAAAACTTAAAAAGTGATTAGAGAAAATTTTATTTTACCCTTTAAAATAAAAACTTCATTTTTATTTTTGGGGCATACTTCAAATATAGATATTTTGTTGGGGTGGGAGGCCTGGAGTGAGTGAGTTTACGATGAGATGCCCTTCCAGTACTGGGAGGCATTGACTTCTGTGCGTCCTCCGCCTCCAGGGACTCCTTCTGTTCTTCCTCTTAGGATTTATGGTTGGAAGAGACTATGAAGCTGAAGGAATTGCCAAGGATGGCGCCAAGATGGTGTCTGCTGTGGCCTGTGCCAATGTGCCTAAGATGACCATCATCATTGGGGGATCCTACGGGGCTGGAAACTATGGGATGTGTGGCAGAGCATATAGGTATGTGTTGTCCTCATACTTCAAGTGTAATTACGCATGGTCAGTTTATTTCACGTTTATTTGAAATATAGTAATGGCATTCACAGATCTTGATCGATTATACCATAATTTGTATCATCTGGAGGGGTGAAATGAAATGTGACGCTAATCCACATGGATTAAAGAAATCCACAATGGGAATCAGGAACCATTTTGAAAGGGAAGATAATGAAAATATTATGTATCATAGCTTGTGTGATACAGCTACAGTCCTGCTTTGAGAAAGGTTTGTGGACTTTACTAGATGTCCTGGGAGGGAAGGAAGGAAGGCTGAAAACCAGCCTGCCAAGCAGCCTGCTCACAAAGTTCAGAAAAGAGCAGCCTGTCCGACACAGGAGAAGTAGAAAGCAGGACTTGAGAAAGAACAGACGTAAAGATGGAAGACTCAGTACGACCCAAAGTTGGTTTGTTTGAAAAGGTGAACAAAATTGATAATCCCCTGGTAAAACTGAAAATAAAGCAAGAAGCCACATATAACCAATGTTAGGCATGGAACACAGGCTGTGACCACAGATCTAAGAGGATGTTGTGAATACTTTTATGCCCAGTACATGTAGATGAAATCAAAAAAGACAATTTATCAGAACAGACATCAGAGTCACCTGGAGAACTTAAAAATCACGCTCCTCTCGGGCCCACTGCTGGAGAGTTAGTCTGGGGTGCGTATTTTTTTAAAGCTCCCCATGTAATTGTAATGAGCAACTAGAATGAAGAGCCCCTGGTTTTACAGGTAAACATGGGCATCTGGAAAGCTGTGTTGAACAGTGAGTTAATTTGATCCTCCTTTCTTTTCCCCCAGCCCGAGGTTCCTCTACCTGTGGCCGAATGCCCGAGTCTCAGTGATGGGAGGAGAGCAGGCGGCCAACGTGCTGGCGACAGTAGCGAAGGACCAGAGAGCGCGAGAAGGGAAACAGGTGCGTGTCGTCTCTCCTCCGCGGTCCAGCTTTCACGTGACTGGCCCGGAGCCGGGAGCAGCGTCCCCACCCCTCCGTGTTCCCGGCTCTAGCGCCAGCGCCTGGCGGCTGGCTCTGTTTGGGAGACACTGGCCTGGAAGTTGTTTCAGCGTAGACTACGCATTTCCTCTCTGTCTTCTCAGAGCCATTTCTTTGATGTACCTTCTTTGTGGTAATTTATAAATTTTTCAGGATCTCCAAGAAAACACTTGGAGCCTGTGCCTGAGGCACAGAGATGTCTCAGTCTTCCTCATTGGCACTTAGTGAGATTTAAGTAAATCTGACTGACTTGCTTGGTTCTGTGACCTAAAGCAGCAGAACTGTGCTTTTCCTGTTTTAGCTTTTTGGTGAACATACTTGAGTGGGAGGGCTCGGTCATTGAGTGAGAACTGAAGAATATTATTAAACTGTCTAAGTGTAAATGGAGAGCAACAAGAGCTCGATGAGAGACAAGTCAGCAGTGGCTGCTTTGAAAGTGGACTCTTGTTTGTGTCTCTTAGAGATGCTTCTGAAATTTTGCGTTAATTTTGCTAGTTATGACGTAACTGCTTTGTGTGGGTGCCGAGTCTCTGAGAGATCCGTGCATGTTGCTGACATGCTTCGGTCACTGTCTCCTGGGCACCAGGCCGGAGTGGAGGCCGCCGGCCCTCAGGTTCCCAGGCCGGCCCTCCGGGAAGGGCAGTGGGCCACCTTCTCCGTGGGGTGGGGTACGGTAAAGCCAGAGGGCGGGCCTGCCTCCCCGAGTGCGGCCGGCCCACGCCTCTCGTCCCCCGTTCTTTTCCACGCAGCAGGACGTAGACTCAGACAAGGTTTCAGTTCACCTCAGTGCCGACTGGTGCCCAAGCGAAGGCAGGCTTTCCTTGTGGGGGTGTGGACCTCCCCTGAGGTTTGCGAGACGTGCCGTGAGCTCCAGCCCAGCGTGGGGGTCTCTCGTTAGACAGTTGTGCTTTGATTAATTTGATATACAGATGCATGGATTCACCTATTTTTATAAACGAAAGGAAAGTATAGGATTCTAGTGGTTCTCCCTCCAAATTCTCGACCTAGAAATGATACTAAACTATGAAAGTACGTAGAAAGAGGTTGGATTTATTTGAAATAAGTCTTTTTGTGTGTCTGTGGAATATTTTTTAAGTTGAAAATACTTTTCAGGGTTTCAAAATTAGTTTGCATAAAGATTTTTACATCTGAATTAATTATCAGTTCTTTCTTGTGATACTGATGGGCAAACTGTTCAATTTTTAATTGGGGAAAACTCTCTCAGCTGTGTGGGAGATAGACCGAGGAGGTTGTTCCAGGTGTGGTTGCTGTTTTACCCCTTTAAGCTTTAAAATTTGGGCTACTTTGAATGGGCTCCTCTTCTCCGCCCCCTTAAGCAGAAGCTGCTGACTGGTGCAGCTTCCATGTTGTGTGATCCAGCTCAGTCGCTGTGTCCTGGGGTTATGGCAACTCGCCAGACCTCGGTTCCGACCCCACGTTAAAGGGCCTCAGGACATTGTCTCTGGGGGGGGTGTCCCTGTGCGCCCGTCGACACTTGTGTCTCGGGTGAGATCATGTATGTTCTGGCGTCGCGTGCAGTCCGTACATCCCTGCGCAGGTGTGGTTGTGACATTATTATTCACGGGCTCTGCTGCCCCTTTTCCCGAGGAGCTCTGGGTGGCTCTGCTGTCCCGCGGCAGCTGCCTCACTCTGGGCCGTGTTTCTTTCAGTTCTCCAGTGCTGAGGAAGCAGCTTTGAAAGCGCCCATCATGGCGAGGTTCGAAGAGGAAGGAAACCCTTACTATTCCAGTGCCAGGTAGGGGAGCAGCTGCGTCCAGAGGTCTGGGCACTTGGGATGATTCAGCCTTGGTGGGAACAAAAAATGATGTTTGAACACACTTGATTCTGTCCTCTTGTCTCTGTGATGGGAATGCCTGCTACCGAAATGCCCCCAGTCCCAGGCTGGGCTGTGGGTCCACCACCAGTCTCATTCTGCGCAGAGGGTCCATCCGGCAGCCAGAGGGGGCCACGCCGGGGCTGGGGGGCTAGGAGGTATAATCCCACTGTGTCAACCTTCAGGAATTAGTTCTGTTCTAATTTTTGCTTGCACACATGGATTCCTGTCAGATCCCTCTGTTTGTTTTTGCCTCATTTGAAGCATGAGGTTGGCACTTGTTAACAGTGTGCTCATGCACTCAGGCCGGGGTCCCTGTGTCAGCACCAAGGAATGACGCAGGCCCAGAGATCTCTTGGTTCTCTTTGCTTCTGATGCCACTTAGTGAGGCAGTAAATTATCACGCCGTCCCAGCTGGAGACTTGTGGCGTGAGCGTTCCGACCTCTGTCTCAGCCGCTCTAATGCTCTGCGTTCTGAAGACTAATCGAAGCCTCCTGTCTGCCTTTTATCCCTCGGGCAGATGGAGAAAAGAAAATAACTACTCGTGTCTTTTAAAATTAGGTTGTGCTGTGGGTTCTGCCGCTTACTGGTGAAGGCTCAGTGGAGACGGGAGGGAGTCGCGGCAGACCTGCCCCACGCGGCTGAGTGCGCCCTGAGGCGGGGCCCTCCCGGGCCGAGGGCACGGAGCCTCGACCAACCGATGGCCGCTGGAGTGTAGTCAGTCCAGAATTCCAGTAGCGCCATTTGGGGTTTTTAAAAAGCCAGTTTCTCTTCTTGTTAACATGTATTTTTACAAGGTACACAAATTTACAGGAATATTTTGTGTGGTGGGTCATTGATTCATTTAATTAAGAACAAAGTATTTTATGGTCTTTGATTTGAGAAATAAACATGCCCTTCTTTTTACCATCACTTAAGCAGACTTATTTGGAGCCAGTAGAAGCCAAGAGAAAATAGAAAAACTGTAAAAGGTTTTAGAGGGGATAAATATTGTAAAATCACCTACAGTTTGTTTTTGTTTTTACGTAAGATTTTGACTGAAATTTATAAGGACAGTTGAAATATTGAACTTTGAAAAATAGCATATTTTGTATGAGCTGTTAATTTGTTTTTCAGCCCTGGCTAAGTCATCTCTTGAGAAAGGCTGAATCCTTTATGATTTTCCTGCTCACATCATTATTATTATTTTAGTGCATTCTATTCAAGGAGGTGAGCAGACAGCCCAGATGGACTTCTCTTCGGATGTGAACATTGAAAGGCAGTGAGGTTTTCTGCTGACTTGTAGTTGCTTGACCCTCTGGACACTGGGTGGTGCGGAGACAAGCTGTCTTTCAAAGACGAAAGGATTTTCAAGCCAGTTTCTGGCACCTTCCTCGGGTTTAATAAATCTCAGCTGAACATTTAATGCCGGGTCTGTTTAGGCTGTGGTGTGGCCGGGTCTGTCTGTCGGAGGCTCTGTCCTCATCTGCCACCAGGAGTTCCTCTGTTTCTCTTCATCCTTGTGTGTTACGTTTGCAGCATGCCAGTCTCCTTGTGTCACTTGTGATAATCAGACTTTCTCGGGCTGTGATTCGAGCCCCGTACCTGGGGCAGGCTTCTCACTGACCATCGTGAGGCAGCCCCGCCTCATGGAGCTGCCGTGACTGTGCGGATGCTTCAGCAGGGACTCATCAGTGAGCTGGTTACAGAGGACAAGAGTGGCCTTCTTCTATTGGCCGTTGATACTGCAGGGTCCCTATTATGAATGTTTTAGGAGCAAAGATTTGGTTCATGGTCTGTCAGTGTGATGCGGTTTAATAATTGATGCCATGTCCAGATACCAAAGGCAGTTTGTTTAAAGAAACAAAACTGCCACCTACTAATGACCTTTAAAAAGCAATATTTTTCATTCATTTTTCTTTATAGTTTAGAGGTTGTCAATGAAAAGCAACTAAAATTTCAACTTAAAAATTTCTTCTGAAAGCAGTTGAAAGCTTTTACTTGTTTTTCCTATTGTAGCAAAAAACGCAGAACTACATCTGAAGGTGCTTTATTAATAAAATGTACTAGAGTCGATTCAGTAATTTTCGTGTTTCTTAAGAGTTTGGAGAGTTGGGGAATACTCCTTTTCCGGTAGAGACTTTGGTTGGAACCGTTACCTGGGTTTATGTGGCTCTCCGTATTAATAACAGGAATGCATCAACTTGATTTGTCCGTTTATGTGTGTGGTAGAGGGGCAGGAATGGTTTTTCCTGAAATAAGTAAAAGTGTTTTTAAATTGGGGATTATTTGAAGTTTCTTATGGTAAGCTATTCTCTAAGCCATAGCTGGATTTGGCATTCTCTGGGGCCTGGGACGAAAGTCTGTTGTTTTTCTTTCTCCCTTTTTCCCTCTCTTGAATGTTCCGGTTGTGAGATTATAGTCCACAGAAGCTGGTCAGCGGATCCATGTGTTCCCTGAAGGAAAGCCTCTTTGGCATTTCTGGGTGTGTGGTGGTGGATTCCTAATAACTGGTCTTTGTTCTTTCATTAGGCTGTGGGATGATGGGATCATTGATCCGGTGGACACCAGGCTGGTCCTGGGGCTCAGTATCAGCGCAGCCCTCAACGCGCCCATCCCAAAGACCGACTTTGGCGTCTTGAGGATGTAACTGGAGTAGGAAGCGCCTTCTGTTGGACGTGTACCAAAAATTAATGCATTAGTAGCCTTAAAATTTTAGACTTTTTCAACATGTAGCTGATACAGTAAAATTGTTTTCTTAACACAGTACATTGTACTTTTCTACCTTAAAAAAAATCAGTGGAGATATTTATTTGATGAACTTCAATTCCTTGTAAATTTTGTTAGAGAAATTTTTCTGTGGCTTAGCTTTACCACCGTAAAGTGAAGAGAATCACTTAGTTACCTTTGTAACGCACACGTAGCATGAAAAGTTCTATAACCTGTAAGTTCAAGTGTTATTGAGATGATTGACGTAAAGGTATATTTCCTCTGAAATGATTGCTTTGCTAATGATGCACAGTGATATTTTAGCACACTTATTGTTTAAGAGCTTCTCTTGCTTTTCCCTCCAGCCACGTCCTCCTCCCTCGCATGGTATCAGGCTTCCTGGGGTCTGCACTGGGCCCTGTTTCCTGCCCGTTCCCTCCTTGCCCGGCAGCCTCTCCAGGGTTGACCTCCCTGATGCTGAGACCAGCGTGCTCTTTCCCGACTTTATCTGACTTAATTCTCCGCAGCACTTGGGCCAGCGGGATCCTCCTCCTGGACATACATCCCTGCTGCCAGGCCCTCGCGCCCCAGGCTCCTGCCAGCCTCCTCGGCCACTCTGTTCAGCTCTGTCTGCGGGTCCCTCCCGGCCCACTCCACCATCTGCCCTGGTTTTTCTCTAGTAGTACATGAACACACTCTCATTCTAAAAGATACAAATAACACAAAATTGCCTCTTCATTCTTTCTTTAAATTGTGGTAAAATATATGTAACATAAAATTTACCATCCTGACCACTTTTAAGTGTGTAGTTCTGTGGCTTCACGCACATTTACATTGCTGTGCGGCATCACCACCGTCCACCTCAGAACTTTTCCCAGAGGGAACTGTGTCCCCATCACACACTAACTCCCCATGCACCTCCCGCAGCCCCTGGCATGTCTCCACATTCTTTTATTGTTGTTGTTGTTGAGGAAGACTGGCCCTGAGCTAACATCTGTACCAGTCTTCCTCTACTCTGCATGTGGGACGCCTCCACGGTGTGGCTTGATGAGCGGTGTGTAGGTCCACGCCTGGGATCTGAACCCGTGACCCCAGGTTGCTGAAGTGGAGCATGTGAATTTAACCGCTACGCCACCAGGTGGGCCCTCCGCAATCCTAAAAGCATGTGTTTCTCATGACTTGATTGATCTTGCTGGGCCCTTCAGCCCGTCCTACAGCTTCAGTTGGCGTCTACATGCAGAGGTTTCCTGCGTGGACAGTTCCTGACACAGTCCCCCCGACTCCAGACCTGCATCCCTGACAGGCCTGCTGGCTGCCGGAACACACGGTCTTACAAGAGCCGCAGGTTCAGCCGTCTGGGCCTGTCGATTGTGCCTCCCGATGGCCTCTGCGCCTCCCCGGGTACTCCTGTCTTTCCCTGCCGCAGGCCTTAGACGTGGTCTGCCTGCATCCGTCTCACCTCGCCCAGTCTCTCGGTCCCTCGGACTTAGGATGGCCATTCTGAAGCGCCCATCTGATCACTTCCTCTCTCCCCGAAATCTTCACTGGGTCCCTGTGAAGGGCCAGACCTCTGATGCCCTCCACGACCCTGATCGTCACTCCTGAGTCTCGTCTCCTTGAGGTCTCCCTCACACAGGGTGCCCCTGCCTTCCCAGACCTGCTCCTGGAACCCATGGCGTCCTTCCCACCCGAGGGCCTGCCAGGTTGCCCCTGCCTGAGCTGCTCTCCTCTCCCTTTTTAGACAGTTACCCTTCCGCCTCTGTGGCCTCCCGGGGCAGGTTAGACACCTGCCGTGTGCTCTTGTGAAGCACTGTCCAGTTCCTCTGTTGTGTGTGTTGACAAGAAATACAAACATCTTGACTCACCCTCCTGCTAGGATGTCAGCTCAGTGACAGCAGGGTCCTTCTGCTGAGCCTGCATCTCTGGTGCCTGGCACTTGTAGGTCAGATGTTTGTTGAATGAATGAAAAAATCCATATTTGATATCCTCAGGCCACATCATTTTAAAATTAAGTGATTGATTATATGATCTAATACAACTATTAAATGTTTTCCTAATAAAATTCGTACTTTAAACATTTGTGTGTGATGTTCAATTCAGGCTGCATTTGTGTATCAGAAGTCAGTGAAGTGTTTCGGAATGTGTCCAGATGGGTGGCCACAGTTCAGAGGTGGGCTGCTTTTTCTGATGGACATTGGAGGCTGTCATCAAGAGGACATGACTGCTGGTTGACCTGAGAACTAAACCTGGCAATTGTGGGCCCCTCACCCCCCTTCCCTGGTAACAGACGTTGCGCTCACTGTGCCCACTGTGCCCACTGTGGAGCCGGTTCGAGGACGCAGCCTCAAGAGCAGGGTGTCGTCGAGGCCATGTGGACGGGCTAGTGAATGAACCCCCCACGGCCTCTGCATAAGCACTGAGATTCTGGCGGGCGGCGCGGAGATCTCGTCTCGGCCTCCTGGACGTGGGTTCCTTTGCTGGTTAGACCTGCCCCCTCGGTCTGGGGGGCCTGCCTCTTTATTCTATCTCTCCCTGCCCTCTGTTTGTGGGCCAGTGTGCAAACCAACCAAGATACACAGTAAGTATTTTAAGATAGGAAATTATTGAATTTTCAGTTAAAATTTACATCCATCTCAGAAAACAAAATGATTTTTTTAATCAAAACTAGATCGTATCCGTTGGTAGGAGCCATCGGCAAGTCAGATTCATGGCTGTTTGAGGGTATTTTTACCTTTTCCTATTGAGGAAGATCGTGGTCTTCCGTGGTACTAAGGATAAAATTGTTCTCGGAGCAGAACGGGATTTCTGACCACCTCTGACCTTCCTAGGCAGGTGCACCTTCTAGAAGAGGAGGCTTGTAGTCAAGGTGAGCCGTGTACCTGACGGCCACTCTGGGATGCTTCTGAGTGTGAAAGGCCCCCTGCTGGTAATTACACGGGGGCCAGGTGTGCGCCGGGCTGGTGGCTGCTCGCCCTGCAGCTCGTCACTGAGTGGACTTGGTGCTGATGCTGCGGGTAAGGTTCTGGTAATTCTTACAAGCCGGTATTCCACATACCTGCTTTGTAACTTTTCAGTGGCTCAAGACGACACAAATTTGTTCTCATAGTTCTGGAAGTCAGAAGTCTAAAACTGAGATGGCCGCAGGGCTGCATTCGTTCCGGGGGCTTTGAGGGGAAAATCTGTTGCCTTTCGGCTTCTAGAGGCGGCCTGCCTGCTTTCTAATGTTAATAGAGGTTTCAGTATGACGTCAGACACATCCACGCATTAGCCTTCTTCGGAGCCATTTAACTGACTGAGCAGAGAGTTTCCCATGGGGCAGGGGCAGTCCTGTTTTCTGCCACACCCACATTTCAGTGCGTCTGAAGGACCCAAATCCTAGGATTGTGCTACTCTTTATGTTAAGGGTGAGGTGTGCCTGAGGTCTCGGCAGGTGGGAATGTAAAAACATGACCAGAGCCACTTGTCAGGACTAAGCTGGAGAGGGTAAAACTAACGTCTAATCCAGCAAATGTTCTTTGTAAGAAGTAAGTATCATTTTGGAGTCCTCAGACTACCACCAAGTGTGTCTGTTGGAAACACTCGACATTTTCAACCACAGCTCTATTCACATTCCTATAGCTGTAAGATAATTAAAACTATTGTCTTTAAATTATTTGTAATTCAAAATCCAACAAGGTTATTTGTAGAAAACTTAGAAAGAGAGTGAAGAAAATAAAGTGAAAATTCTCCGTAATGCCACCACCCAGAGGTAACTGCTGCTGTTAGTAGTTTTTTGTGTGTACTGTTCTTTCTTCTCTCTGCAGGAATTTTTTTTCACAAAAAAAGTTCTTCTTTAATCTGTGTTTTCACTTTAGTGTAAATGTACTGACGGTTCCATGTCATTTGATGTTTCCTCTACAATAATTTTGATGTCGTGTGATAGTACATCCTTGGATGCCCCAGTTGATAGAACCACTCCCCTATTGTTGGACACTTAGGTTGTTTCTGGTTTCCCACTATTATAGATAAAGCTGCAACAAATATGTTGTTTCTTTACATAACTGTGATTATTTTGTAAGTACAAATTCCTAGAAGTGGAATTGTTGGACTGAAGTATGTTTTACTTTGGAGGCGTGTTGCTAGGTTCTGCTCTGTCAGTGTACCTTTGTGGTGCAAGTATTGCTGGATACAATGATGACTCTGGTGCCTTCAGATACTGAACTAACTTCCAGTGGAATTAAATTACTCACAAACTGGTGTTTCCTTTCATTTTTAGAAGTTGTGTCTATGTGACAATGTCACGTTGGTAACAAGTTGTGAAGACTGAGCATGAGTGCCTGCGGAGCATCCTGGTTGTGGAAAGAACCCTGGGCTGGGAGAAGACCGGTGCCGCCCTGGTTCTGCTAGCAAAACGTGTGAACCTGAGGAAGATGGGAGGGGCCAGCAGCAGCCTCTCCGACCTCACGGTTGCCTTCCTTTTCCGGACGCCCTCATCCCCTTTCGATGAGTACTGGGCAAGTGGGCGGAGGGGCTGAGGACTGGAGGAAGGGAAGGTCTCAGGAGGTGGGGTTGCAGTAGAGAACTCACTGAAGAGAGGACATGACCAGGACACTTGTTAGAAGTAAGCTGGGGAAAAAGTAGGGTGTGCCGAGAGCTTTTGACAGTAAGAGCTTTTTAAATTCTTCATACAGTCAGTTTGCACCAGGTGGCGTGGTGAGACTCTTGGTGGAGACACTTACCAAGGTGACGCATTCTTCAGCTTTGCCAGTTTCTTTTATTTAAATGAACAAACGTTTGCTGAAGGCCTACTATGCGCCTGGCTTTGGGATGGGACACAAAGATGAGTAGAGCATGGCCCCAGTCCTGCATCAGCGCGTCAGTGACTGCTCAGTACCCCTCCACCTCCTTTTGGTACCTGCACCCTCATTCTGCTTCGAGAGCTAGCCCTCTCCTGTTCCGTGCAGTCTTGGCGAGAGTGTCAAGCAAAGAACCCTGGTCCCCAGCTGAGAGCTGGACTCATGCCTGAGGCATGGCCGGGCTGACTCTCCAGCGGTTTGACTCCTGAGCAGAGGGACGAAGGTGAAAGAAGACGCCTTATGTGGCTCCAGAGGACTGTCAGAGCTGTTCATTCATTCCTGCTCTGGGCTCCCGCACAGCCCTGGTTACTGGACCCTGAGGCATCCTGGCATCCCGTACTCCCAACAATCTTGTAAAGTACGCTGGAGTTGCACTGACTCCAGTGCTCGTAGCAACAAACGGCGGCTGACAGCATGTCCTGGGAGTCAGAGGGTAAAATAGGTTCCTTGACATTTTCAACTTGATGAGAGCTTTCCTGCCTGCGGTCTGAAAAAGGCTAGTCAGGAATGAAGCCACTGGAACCAAGTCAACAAGATAATGTAGACAGAAGAATGAACAGGGCACTGGCCTCAAGCTCACGGGGCGTTCACAGGAGCATGTGACTTCTCACCACCATAGAAGGTGACGATGGATCCAGTGTTCATACTGCCAGAAGGGAAACTCGATGTATTGCAACCTTTTGGCCACTGAACTATGTCACTGAGCAAGATTTTAGGTTACTTTTCACTGGAAACAGGACAGTCTTGGGGATAATTTAAAGACAGCCATACCCAAGAGGTCGCTTAAGATTAGCAACAGACGTTGGCTCAGGGCCAGTGTCTTCCTCACAGACACACAAACAAGACAAAATGGAAAAACACCCCTGGGCCCACCTCAGATCCTGAGTCTGTAGGTCTGGAGTGGGCCCCAGAAGCCGTGTTTCTAACACGTTTCCAGCTGACACTAACGCTGCTGGTCTGGGATCACGCCTTGAGAACCACTGACTGCCCTAGGTGGTCCTCAAGTTCCTTCCTAGCTCTCAAGTTCTAGGATTCTAAGACCCGTTTCTGCTTTGGTGATATTATTGGTCTTGTATATTTTTGGTGAAGCCTTCATACATTTCTCTCCCTCCCCCATTTTCAGGGTAGGGTGAGTCCATCTTAACTTCTCTGTCAGGGCTTCACAGCCCAGGCTGAACATTAGCATCACCTGAGGAGCTTACGAAAAATCCCGATGCGCAGGCTGGACCCCAGGTAACTGAGTCAGACCCTCTCAGGTCAGGACGCAGCCTCAGTAGTTGGTAAAGCTCCTCGAGTGACTCCTGCCTGCGGCCAAAGCTGAGAGTCACTTCTCAGGGTCAGGCTAGATCAGCAGACTTCAGAATGGAACAACCGCGCGTTTCAGGACGCTGCCCTGAATTCAACCTCTTAACGTTTAGGTTGTACATGCATTTTTATAGAGGGCTCATGGCCCGGATGAAAGTTTGCCTCATTTTGGCTTCTGAATGTACTCGTTTCAGGCCAGCTGCTGGAAGTGGTTACCAAGAGCCAAAAGTTTCCAGTGAGGCTTATCCAAGGGATGGAAAGAAAGGAGATCAGAGCAAAAACGAACGAGCGAAAACAGGAGGCGTGTTCTACACAATGCCCATCACAGCAGCTGACGTTTAGCCTCCGCAGAATTGTTTTCTGAGTGGTGCCTCTGCCGTGGCTTCTCAGTGGATTAAACAGGATTTAAGTCTCTGAGGACTCCTCCGAGTTGCTCGCTCCCAGCCAACCATAGCTGATAAAAAGGGGAATTTTCACCAACACCGTACCGTAGTTGATAGCTTGAGATTCCGTTTAAAACATTTTTTTATTGTGGCAAGATGTACGTGACAAAATTTGCCATGTTAAGCGTGCAGTCCAGTGGCCTCAAGCACATTCACATTGTTGTGTAACCATCACCACTGTCCTCCAGAACTTTTTCATCTCCCCAAAGCGAAACTCTGTTCCCAAAAACACTCACTCGCCAGCCCCGCCCCAGCCCCTGGCAACCACCATTCCACTCTCTGTCTCTGTGAATTTTCCTCTTCTAGGTATCTTATATAAGTGGGGTCATACAATATTTGTCCTTTTGTGTCTGGCTTATTTCACTTAGCGTAACGTGTTCAAGGTTCATCCAGAGATTATTTCTGATCAAATATATCCATGTCACAATGGAATTAGGTCCGTAAACGTGTCGGTCTCATTTCAGTTAAACAAACACGCAGGTGACAGAGTGCGC